ACAGCTGTATCTAGAAGGCAGGATGCAAAGAGCATGAATAATTTGCATTGTCGTTTGACTAGTATCATAAGCCTCAGTCCTACCTACTTCAGCTTGCTGTGTTACTTGGTTCTGCCTTCTCACCCCCTCTGCATCTTACAGTTTTATGGTTCACCTAGCTACTATACTGCTACTCTTTCCTCTCTCCATTTCATTTTTTTCTTACTGGATTTTTACTGGAGAAAGGCGTCCACTGAGGGCTTCCCTGGTGGTGTAAGAGGTTAAAACACAACCTATGAGACTGTCCGCAACCACTGCAGCATAAGTTCGATTCTTGGCCAGCCAGGGAGCAACCCACATGGCACAGCAGACCTCTCCTGCCTCACCTGCTGCTCCCCTCAGCAGTGTACTTCGGTCAGTCTGCCTGTCCTGTTCCCTGCTCTGTCTCTGGTGAATCCTCTCACCCCACCCCCCACACACCTCTGGCCTATACCCCAGTTCTTGTATGCATAAATAAATATTTTTTTTTTAAAGGAGTCCACTGAAAGCTGGAGTTCACAGAAAGCTGACCTCATTGCAAGAAAATTATCAGAAACAGTTGATGAGAACCATGGAGGGGGACTGAGTTTAACTCTCCCATTTGATGGCCCAAAGAATTCACATAACACGTTACTACTGGCTCAACCTGCTGGAAGGTTGCTTCACTGGAAGTTTCCTGGGGAACACCTGAGGCAAAATGTCAACATTCAATCTCATTGTTTAACAGTAATTTTCACCTTGGATGGAAGTCAGTTGATAAGCCTCAGATTTCAAATATGCTGGATTGTTATTTTATTTTTTATTATGTATTCATCAGAATGGCTAAAATTGAAAAGACTGAAAATACCAAGGATATAGAGCAACTAGTGCTTTTAAACATTGCTTTTGGGGGTGTAAATTGATCAAAACACTTTGTAAGGTGCTTAGCAGTATCTACTAAAGCTTAACATACACTTAACCTATTGCAACAGGGTGGTCCCCAGGAAAGGGGGAGGTTCCCTGCCCCACCCAAGGGAGGGTGGAGCTGAGCAGGAAGAGAAGAAGCTGAAGAAGAGACTGAGGAAGGAAGCAGGATGGAGCCAGGAGACCTGGAGGAGGTGCATGGAGCCTAGAGACACGTGAAGAAACTGCGCTTGTCTTTTGGTCGTGGACTGGGTGACACAGATGTGGGTGAGACCCATGGGGAGGTGACAATGGCAGCTTTTATCTTGATGTTGATTTTGCTCTTTTCCTTCCGGGCTTGTCTGGTTGTTTCTGACCCTTTTCTGTGGGTCCCCACTGGAAGATGCTTTAGACTTGTGGCAGGCTTTGGGGCCTTGCTCTGGGCCAATCCCATTTGGATGGACTTTTACCCACGAGGGGACGGGTAACTTTGGGTGCTTCATTTAGAAACTAGACTCTGCCTTACCTGTATTGTTTCCTAGTTTTATTAAAGTTCCTTCCCCTTAAAGTCTCCTATGTTTTCTGTTGATGCGGCGGATGGCAAAACCCACTTAGAATAGGCAGGTTTGCGGGGTTTGGGCTGCCCCTCTCCCTGTCCTATAACACTATGACAGAGCAATTGTACTTGTAGGTATTTACTCAAGAGAATGAAGTATTCAAGAGACTGTATGAATACTTATACAGCTTTTTTAAAAAAGATTTTATTTATTTATACAAGAATCGGGGTACAGATGTGCGGGAGGGTGAAAGGATTCACCAGAGACTGAGCAGGGAACAAAACAGGCAGACTGACTGAAATACACTGCTGAGGGGAGCAGCAGGCAAGACTGGAGAGGTCTGCTGCACCATGTGGGTATCTCCCTGGCCAGCCGGGATCAAACCCGTACTGCAGAGGCTGCAGACTCCTTCACAGTGCGGCGCTCAACTGCCTGCGCCACGAGGGAGACCCTCATAACAGTTTTATTGACTATTGTTTAAAAACCGGAAATGATGCAAATGTCCATTATCAGAAGAATGGAAAATTTGCAGTACATTAATTCAATGACATACCATACTACAGAAACAACGAACCTCCCTCCAAAATAATGCACGATTGATTCATACAACATAGACAAATCTCAAATACATTATATTGGAAAAAGATGTCAGAAGTTAAAGTGTGTATATACTGTAGATTTTATATATATGAAATAAAAAGCAGACAAAAATTTCTCTATGGTGCTAGAACTCAAAATAGTAACTATTGGGGGAGGGATAGGAGGCAAAACTATATGAACATTACAGATCTCAATCTGGGTGACAATTAACTATCACCCAGGTATAAGCAGGTAAAAGCTTAACTTAAACTGAATGTTTAAAATTATCCATTTCCTACGTATTTATTTTTTTTTAAGTGTACCATATTGTATCTGCATAGTAAAGGCAATGCAATAAAATACTTTTAGCATTTCAATGTTTTTTTTTTTTTTTTTTTTTATAGAGGCATGTTTTTATTTATTTATTTGTTTGTTTGTTCGTTCGTTTTGTTTATACATGCACTGGGTACAGTCAGAAGCGCGGGAGGGTGAGAGAATTCACCAGAGCCAGAGCGAGGAGCAGAGCAGGCAGAAGGACCGAAGTACACTGCTGAGGGGAGCAGCGGGCGGCAGGAGAGGTCTGCACGCCATGTGGGACCCTCCTCCGGTGGCCGGGGAGCAGCCGGGGATCGAACCGGCACCTCAGAGGTCGCCGGCAGCTTTGCAACCCAGCGCTCAACCGCTGCGCCACCGGGGAGGCCCAGCATTTCAATGTTTTAATTTTCAAAATTCAAGACTATCAAAGCTACAGCTTTCACTGTCTCGTACCTGGAGGATTGCCTCACCTCCAACTGGTTTGTTTGCTATCATTTCTTTCTCACTGACAGGTTCTCCTGCTGAGCAAGTGTTTGATTTTACTAATCTCTGGTTAACCAACTTTCTTGGCTCCCCTGGGTCTATGGGATACAGTCCAAGCACCCCAGAGAAGCAAGATTTCCTAACCTACTTCTGACTTGTTTTTCCAGATTTCTCATGCCCATAACACCCAATACCCAGAACCTTCTACATCTCTTTACCTTTGGACTCCTGCTCTGGGCTCCCACTGTACCACCTCTGAAGAAGAACTGGGGTACAGGCCAGAGGTATTTGTGGGAGTGGTGAGAGGATTCACCATAGACATAGAACAGGCAGACTGACTGAAATACACTGCTGAGGGAGCAGTGGGCGAGACAGGAGAGGTCTGCTGCACCATGTGGGTCACCTCTCTGGCCAGGATCTAACTGTGCTGCAGTAGTTGCAGATAGCTTCATAGTGCTGCGTCTTAACCCCTTGCACCACCAGGGAGGCCCCTACAACCCTCAGTTTTGATTTCCTGTGTCTTTGTGAGCTTAGCACAGCCATCATATAAAACCCTCTACATTTTATGTGATTCAGCCCCAGAGCTAAATTTTTTCTGAGAATTGGGGTCATTTTCCTTTTTTTCTGGATCCCTATACTCAGCTCTTTGCTAAATAAATGGGTGCTAACTGAATTGAATTTTAAGTTCCACTGTTTTGTGGCAATACCATTTACTCTTCAGAGGTAGAACTTGGGGGCTGAAAAGGGATACAGCGGGATAGTTTAAATTAGACATAAATTAGTGTTGTCTTTAGTTTGGATTTCCTATTTTGAGAGGTACAAGTTTCTGGCGCTGTCCCATGGGTTAGTGACTAGCCACATGCGGCTATTTAATATTTTAACTTACTGAAAGTAAAGTTAAAAATTGTTTTTCAGTTTCACTAGCCACATTTCAAGTATTTGAAAGTTTTCTGTGACTAGTGGCTACAGTGCTGGACTTTGTAGAACGGAGTATTTCCATCATCGCGTAAAATTCTATTGGACAGCGCTGCCTATCTCTGGCCTTTATTCTTTTTTTTTTTTTTTTTTTAAAGATTTATTTATTTATTCAAGATTGATTGATTGATTTATACAGGCACTGGGTACAGTCAGAAGCGCGGGAGGGTGAGAGAGTTCACCAGAGCCAGAGCGGGGAGCAGAGCAGGCAGAAGGACACTGCTGAGGGGAGCAGTGGGCGGCAGGAGAGGTCTGCGCGCCATGTGGGACCCTCCTCCGGTGGCCGGGGAGCAGCCGGGGATCGAACCGCCACTGCAAAGGCCGCGGGCAGCCCCGCAACCCAGCGCTCAACCGCTGCGTCTGGCCTTTATTCTTAACACCTTTTAAGGAACACAATTTCACCCTCTTCCCACACCTCGCCCACTAGGGCGATCAGTCCCCTTATTGTGTCTGTAATTACTTGCGTCACTGAATGGGCTGAAGTTTCCAAGACTGCAGGGACTGACTATCTGGTAGCTCCAGCGTTTACCTTTGAAACTCAGGCGCATACTAGGCGCTCAGTAAATTATGAATTGAAGAGAGGGATCTTGCAGACACATCAGTCCCAAGCTCTTTTCTTTTCTTTTTAGTTTTTTTATAATTAAAAAAAAAGATTTATTTATTTATTTATACAAGCACTGGGTACAGTCAGAAGCGCGGGAGGGTGAGAGAATTCACCAGAGCCAGAGCGGGGAGCAGAGCAGGCAGAAGGACCGAAGCACACTGCTGAGGGGAGCAGCGGGCGGCAGGAGGGGTCTGCGCGCCATGCGGGACCCTCCTCTGGTGGCCGGGGGGAGCAGCCGGGGATCGAACCGGCGCTGCAGAGGCTGCGGGCAGCTTCACAACCCAGCGCTCAACCGCTGCGCCACCGGGGAGGCCCCCAAGCTCTTTTCTCATGCTGATCGGTCCTTTATACATCTCCAGCATTATTTAGCCTTAAGCTGATTTTAAAGCTGAAGAAAGCAAAGCGCGGGGCACCTGCTGACCCCAGCTCCCGAGGCGTCCGCGCCAAGCCTGGCGTCACCGCCGCGCCGGCCGCCCCTTCCCGCCTCGGCCCCGCCCCGCCCCGCCCCGCCCGGCGCGCGCGTCGGCCGGCCGCGCTGCCCCCGCCTCCCCCGCGCGTCACTGCGCAGGCGCTGCCCGCGAGCGTGGGGCGTCTCGAGGCTGCGGGCTGCCGGCGCTCGGGAGCGTGGGGGTTTGCGGCCTTGGCGCAGCCGGTCCAGCCGCGCACTCCCTGAGCAGCGAGGCGCATCTGGCCGAGCCTCCCCGGGCCGGGCAGCGTGGCCATGGAGAATCAGGTGCTGACGCCGCACGTCTACTGGGCTCAGCGACACCGCGAGCTGTATCTGCGCGTGGAGCTCAGCGATGTGCAGGTAAAGGCCGGACCCCGGCCCGGGACGCTCGCGGGTCGCAGTTCCCGCGACGCCCCGGCCCCCGCCCCCCTCGTCCCGGCGCGCTCGGGGGACCTCGCGGTGCGCCCGTGCGGTCCGCGACGCGTGCGCCCGCGGCTTCCCGGCGGGACGGGGCTGCCTCTCGTCCAGGCGCACCTCACGCGCCGGGCCCCGGGCGCGACCCCCTCAGGGCTGCGGGCGTCTTAGGGGCCCGGGCGGTGTCGCGCGGCCTCCTCTTTGTTCCGAGTTTGCGGCTTGATGGAGCTCCAGCCCAGCCCCGGAGGCCTCGCCGTCGGGGTTCGGGTTTGCGGCGGCCCTTCGAGGCGTGGAATGAGCCGGTTGGGTCTGGGGTGCATGTGACAGTCGGGCTGGGCCTCTTCGGGACGTTTGGCCCCGGCCTGAGAGGTCCAGCCCGGCCTCTCCGGAGTTCACCCGGCCCGCGGCTCCTTTGGAGGGGCCACACCCACCGCCCAGCCTTTCAGTTAGGGAAATCATTCTAGTTACTTTTAAAATTCAGAAGACCTGAGGAATCGATTTTCACTCCTCCATATCCCCCAACCACTGTTCTGACCGCTGTGAACTCAGATGAGCTGAGTTGCATAGAGAACTTAAAAATTACCTTAAGTTACATTGAGCATTTATGTTTGATCTCCTTGACCCCTCTATGAAAAAACGGGGGCCTCCTAAATGGGGATGGAGATCCCTGGATCTGTGAACTCCCATATCTCTGTCCAGACCATCCATTTCGGTCTTTGAGCAACTGGAGATTTCAGTCTGGAATGTTCTCTCTACAGTCATGCTCACTCCTCCCTGCTTCTTACCCTCTCTGGCACTCTGTAACCTCCTTGACTCTGCTTGAAGTCAGGCGGTTGTGTTGGGATCCATTCCCCTTTCTAGCATATTGTCTTGCAAAATGTAGGTGCCCTTTGAATATGGTCACGAATTTGTCGAATTTAATCTTCGCTTCTGAAATATCAACCTGTTTCCCACTGGGGAAAAAAATAAAAGACAATACTGGCCATAGTGCTTTTAAATAGGATGTGACATTGCATGGTGTGTCATTTAATGTGTTAAACCAGGCTGAATTATACTTTTGCGTCAGAGGCTGAATAAATGTTCTTTCTGTGCTGTCTCCCTCTACTCTCTCCAGGGTGTTTTAACAAAAAAAAAAAAAAAAAAAAAAAGGGAAAAAAACCAAACAAAATCTTTGTAGTTGGGGATCAAAGTCTCCCAGAGAGAGTTCCCTCAGCAATCAACAAGAAAAGTACAAAAAATATGTTATGACAATATCCTTTAAATATTTAGCTAGGTATTATATAGACAAACTAAATAAACTCAGACCTTGCTCTCTCTAGACGTCTATCCTGTAATAAGGAGGTACTATTCTGGGATATTTTTGAAGCAACAAACACAAAAGGTGTTTTAGAGAATGGAAAGAAATGGAAATTAGTTGGCCAACTGGAAAAAAAATGGATCATACTTGTATTTTTCTTGAAAGATCCAAACCCCTTAGTTAAGAAACATGAGAACATATTAATTGTATTTGGTATATTTTAAAATCTGAAGGAATATGCTTGAAATATTATAATTAAAGAAATGGGAGAACTTTCCAGAAATATAGAGACAGACTTCAAATTGTTTGACTTGTGCTGTGCCAGTGCTCTATCACCAAAGACTGCCAGAGCATAGCCCCATATATAAGATGTGGTGTCTCATTAAGAAGGTGTTAGAAAAACCGATCATAGGATTTGAGCTTTGGTGATTGGGGGAGGATATAAGGAAGCGGGGTTCACTTTAGATTAGATGCTGTCAGAAAATGCAGCAATTCCTAGATTGGGTGTCTAAATAAATCTTATCTATAGGGAGGAGAGACAAACACAATAAAATTGTAATTGGTAGAGAAGTAGCAGTCACTCATTTTAACCAGGAGGAGGAAGGGTGTCTGGTATTTTGTGGGTGGCATAGTGGGCATGCTTTTGTCTGTGCTTACACAAAATTATAAAACATTCTTTGTCTCATTTTACCAAGGTTTCAAAATAACCTTGTTTGAGGTTGGTACTTTGTGAGGTTTTTCATGTCCAATAGGAGAATAAGATGGCCTAGCTGTGAGTGCCAGCCCAGCTTTGAATGTCACTGGCTGCCCTTTTTTTAATTTCTCTTTTAATTGCTGTAAATAGTGTTGGTGACACTACTGATTCTGGCTCAGGATGAAGTAGTTTGCATATTAATTCCATGGAAAACTTTTGTGGAGTATCTACTCTTGTCTTATTAATTAGGTAGTTCTTGGTTGTTGGATAGCTCTCTAACGCCCTCTGCTTTCCATAGTGTGTGACACTGCTGTATGTGTAAGTATGAGTTTTAGTGTTAAATTTCTTTTTGGAGGGCAATCAATTCTGCTTCCCTCCTTTGCAGAAACACAGAGAACTGTCCTGTGGTTGCATCTCTGTTCTGTTTTTGGAGCTACAGCGCTAGACTATAAGAAATCACCGCTGATGTGAGAAGGATTGGTGCACAATAAAGACTTTACTGGCAGTATTGTCTTTTAGGTGAGCAAAGTGGCCAGCTAGAAGCCCAGAAGCTAAGGTGGGGTTACTTTTAAAATGAAGTTTATTTTCAAGATACTTCACAGAATTGTTTTGAGGTTTGGATAATGGATTGGAAAGTGGTTTGTAAACTCTCATGTACTATTCAAGTGTATACAAGGATTATTTCTATGATACTAAACCTTAGATGAAAGAGAGAAACACAAAGAACAATAGAACAGAATTGAGTCTGTTAGCAGACTTATTCCTAAAGGATGGGTTTTGCCAGTGATTATGATTGTTAAAATATTTGTTCATTCATCAAGGTTTTTGTTTGTTTTAGTTGTATGTGGACAAAGGGCATTGCTCTGTTTGGGAACTGTTTGAAAGATACTGTCCTTGTCCTTACCTAGTAGTCTGGTAGGAAGAGTGGTGTGATAAGGAAGGCATGAGTGGATCTTTTTACTTACTGTCTGGTGGCCATGGATAATTCACTTAATCTTTATGAGCCCTTTTCTCTGCATATAAATAAATATGAATAATAATACCCAATTCACAGAATCATTTTGAGGTTTGGATAATGGATTGGAAAGTGGCTTGTAAATTCTCATGTGCTGTACAAGTGTAAAAGATTATTTGTGTGATATTAAAACTTAGATGAAAGAAATACAAAAAACAATAGGACAGAATAGAATCTATTGGCAGACCTAACCCTACATGAAAATTTGCTATACAACAGGGGCACCTTTACAAATTAACAGGGGAACAGATGAACCATTCAGGAAGTTGTATGGGAACAATTGGTCATCCAAATGGCGATGAGGTAAAATAAGGTCTTCCTATGTACAAAATAAACCATGTACAAAATTCTGGGTGGGTTAATGACCTCAATGTTTAAAGCAAAACTACTAAAAGAAAATATAGAAGACTATGGTATAGGAACTGGGGAGAATGCATTATAAACAAGGCACACAAAACATAGCCCTTAAAGAAAAAGATGGACAAATTTAAGACAAACTTGAAGATATTTAAGACATGTTTGAGGAAGATCAGCTGTACAACAACTGAAGTGAATGAAACAGAACTATCTATGAAACTTGGAAATATAATATCAAATAAGTTGAAGAATTATATAGGCAGTATGAAACTAAGTAGTGTAATGAATACCCTGCATATTGTAAGTGAATAAACAAGTACCATGGGAATAAAACTCCAATTCTAGAACACTTGTTACTTGTGAGGATGGGATGTGTTTGAAGACGAGGTGGAATAATTGTATGTTTTTTTCATTTTTTAGAAAATATTGAAACAAAGCAAATGCTAATGGATGATAGGTACAATGGTGTTTGCTATATTTTTCTATGTATGGCTGACTAAAATATTTATAATATAGATTAAATAAGCTTAGTATAAGCTGTTCAGAACCACAGAATAAAAACACTCATAAAGCACTAAATTAAACAAACAAGTTGGTAACTATTGAGTACCCACAATGATCCAGACACAGTTGAAGGTACCTGAAGGTACCAGGGTTCAGCTGGTGAGCAGCACATATAAAGATTCTACCTTCATATTAAAGGAGAGATACAGTAGATAAATGAGTAAATAAATAAAATAGTTACGAAGATATGTATTATGAGGTAAATAAAGAGTGATTAGTAGAGGCTATTTTAATTCCGGTGGTTAGGGAAGGCTTCATTTGACCTGAGTAAAACTTGAAGGATAAAATGAGTTACCCAGAGAGCTGGGGAAAGAACATTCTAACAAGTGAACATAATTAAAGGTGGGCAAGGGGTGGGAGGGGGGTCCCAGGACAGAAAGGATATGTTAGAATGTTTGAAGCAGAGTGAAGGATGAGTTAGAAGGAGATGAGATTGGAAAGATTAGCAAGATGTAGGTCATTAGGGTCTTGTTGCCATGGTAAGGATGGATTTTATTTTAAGAGCAAAGCAAAACTCCTAGAGTTTTGGACCTCCCTTGTGGCGCAGGGGGTTAAGATGCAACCTATGAAGATATCTGCAGACACTGCAGCACAAGTTTGATCCCCAGCCAGGGAGCTACCCACATGGTGCAGCAGACCTCTCCTGACCCACCCGCTGCTCCCCTCAGCAGTGTATTTCAGTCAGTCTGCCTGGGTGTTCCCCACTCTGTCACTGGTGAATCCTCTCACCCCCTGCATCTCTGGCCTGTACCCCAGCTCTTGTATGCATAAATAATCTTTTTTTTTTAATCTCCTAGGGTTTTAAGCACAGGAATGCCTTCATCAAGTTTATGTTTTGAAATGATGATTCTGGCTGATATGTGGATTATAGAAGGGCAGAAGTGAGATCTCGACAACCATTTAGCTTGATTGTTAAAGTATTGTGGGTGAGAGAGAAGGTGGCTCAGTCCAGGGATGACAGTAGAGGTAGAGAACCATCTATAGATTTGGGATCTATTTGGAGAGAGCCTTCAGGACTTGATGGATTGCATTTGTTGGGGCTTGGGGGAGTGGGAGCAGGAACTCAACAACTAGTCTTAGAATTTGGCTTAAGCACAGAGTAGATGAAGATACAATTTACTGAAATATTTAAAAATGGAGAAGAGGTTTAGGGACCCAAGTCAAGATCTCCTTCTGGAGATATTAGTTTGTGACTGTTATTTTAACAATTTCCATGTAGAAATTGAAGTAGTTACATAACTACAGGTGGAGAGGTCAGGATAATAGTCTGGGTTGAAAATAGAATTTAATGAAATTTTACACTTAACTGAGTTTTTTTAACATTTTAAAAAAGATTTTTTTAAAAAGATTTATTTATTTATACAAGAACTGGGGTACAGGCCAGATGTGCAGGAGGGTGAGAGGATTCACAAGAGACAGAGCAGGGAACAGAACAGGCAGACTGAATGAAATGCATTGCTGAGGGTAGCAGCGGGCAAGACAGGAGAGGTCTGCCGTGCCATGTGGGTATCTCCCTGGCCAGCCGGGAATCGAACCTGTGCTGCAGAGGATGTGGACAGCTTCACAGTGCTGTGCTCAACCCACTGTGCCATCAGGGAGGCCCTACACTTAATTGATTTTTTTTTTTTTTATAGAGGCATGTTTTTATTTATTTATTTATTATATTTGTTTGTTTTTGTTTTATACATGCACTGGGTACAGTCAGAAGCACGGGAGGGTGAGAGAATTCACCAGAGCCATAGTGGGGAGCAGAGCAGACAGAAGGACTGAAGTACACTGCTGAGGGGAGCAGCGGGTGGCAGGAGAGGTCTGCGCACCATGTGGGACCCTCCTCCAGTGGCCGGGGAGCAGCCGGGGATCGAACCGGCGCCGCAGAGGCCGCGGGCAGCTTTGCAACCCAGCGCTCAACCGCTGCGCCACCAGGGAGGCCCCACTTAATTGATTTTTAAGATCATTATTTTATGTACCATGAAAAAAAATTGCATGCTATAAAACTAAAACTTACATGCTATAATGCGTTATTTCAATACAAAAAGAATTGGGACTCTTTAAAAATTTTTAATGAAAACTTAAAAATACAGCTGATTAAACTGTGATACATTTGTTCTTATCGCTTACAATATTTGATTTTTTTTACTTATTGGAAGACCTCTCAGACTTATTTAAACCAAACGCCACCAAGTTTATTGCTGATTTCAGTGAGGGGGAAATACACACTGTGTGGAACCATGGGGTGTTTCAGAGGGTGTTACACTTAGGATTTGACTGGGTGATTGGGAAAGGGTCTGAGTAAATGGGGATTTTCTTTAGATTGGATGCTGTCAGAAAGCTGGGGGACAGTTCTATGATTGGGTTTTCATGGATGGCATAGTGACCTGTACTTAGACAAAATCACAGAGATAACCTTATTTTTGTCATTTTGTCATGATTTCAGAGTAATGTGAAGTTGGTTGGTATTCTTTGAAATTCTTATGTTCAGTAGGAGAACAAAATGTCCTTGCTGTGAGCTTTAGACCTTCTTGTAATTTTGAGATCTAGATGTGAATGTTAGATCAGTTTCAGATGTCAGAGACAGCTTATTTTTTTTTTCTCAAGGGTTTTTAACAGCTGTAAGTATCTCTGCTCTCTTACTCTTCTGTACACATAAATATGAAAATATATGCAAAATAAGTTTTGAAGGTATCCCTAAATCATCTTTGTATTTTTAGAATCTACTCTTTTGAATCACACTTCTATCCCGAGATGGCACGTTTTTCCATGTAGTAACCTTTTTGTCATTATAGTACTCGTCATGCAGCATTTTTGAAAGATTACTGTTATCAATGGTGTTTTTTTCAAGTGCCTATTTATCCGATGCTAGCACTTTCTGGATCTTACCAGAATGTCAACAAAATGTTTCCAGACAAGAACCAGCACTCGTACTTCCTCACATGGCCTTTGAATGGCTTGTTGACTGAAACATTCAGTTGGAGCTGTGTGGTCATGCCTTCTGGAGTAGTAACCAAGCTTGCACATGCTCAGGCAGTGGTTGCCACTTTGCCAAAACAATTATAAGGTGCTGCTATCATTTTTCATATATAGCCTGATTTTAGAGATATTAAATGTGAAAAAAATGTGCTACTTAGAATTGATAAAGTATAGTAAATTTTTTGAGTTTTCAGTTATAAGTTATAAGAGTAAAACCCTAAGACAGGATGAAATCATCCAGGAAGTGTGAGTATAGATCAGTGGTTACCAACTCAAATGCCCAAAATATGTAATTCCCTTGGTTTGAATCTTGGTTTTACCACTTACTGATTAATTTTTTTAAACGAAAGACCTCAATTTTTTCTTTTTTTTTTTTTTTTAAAGATTTATTTATTTATGCATACAAGAACTGGGGTGTAAGGCAGAGGTGCGGGTGTGTGTGTGTGTGTGTGTGTGTGGGAGGATTCACTAGAGACAGAGTGAGGAGCAGAAGAGGCAGATCTACTGAGATACACTGCTGAGGGAAGCGGCAGGCAAGACAGGAGAGGTCTGCAGCGCCATGTGGGTCAGCTCTCTGGCCAGCCCGGGATTGAACTCATGCTGCAGTGACTGGCAATGGCTTGATAGCGCTGTCTTTAACCCCTGTGCCAACAGGGAGGCCTCTAAATAAATCTAAAAAAAAAAAAAACAAACACCAGAGGAGAGAGAGAGAACACTTTCTAATTCATTTTATGAGACAAATACAAGAAAGAGGAATTATAGGCCAATCTCACATAGAGTTTTTTTTTTATTGCTTCAGGGTGTTTTCCTTACCAAAATTTTAGCCTCTGAGAACATTTACATCAAAACCTGTTGCCCTGAGGAACTATGTCCCTGAGAATGTAACCCTTTTAAATGAGGTTCCCGCTTCCTGACACAGAGAAGAACATTTAAAGTTGTCCCTTCAGGTGAATTTCTCAGCCTGAAATGTATGTTCCCACTAGGACGGTTTTTGACCTAATACTCATGTCCCTTTCCCCCCCATTCTCTTTTTCTAACACTTTGCTTTGAATAGAGCATCTGAACTCCCACTGTCCATTAGTGTACCCACTTCCCAACCTTCTGTCTTGATGGTTTTCTTTGATGCATGACAGAGTACAGAAAGCTGAGCCTACAGAAGAAAAACAAATGAACTAATGATAGCCCTGGAAACTTGCTGCTTCTGGCTGATTAATTTTGAGCTCAGAGATAGCAAGTGAGTTGATTCGCATCCATTGGAAAAAAGAGTTAAATCATTTTAAATTGTGCTGCTAAAGGCTGTAGCAACTTCTGAAAATAAACGAACAATTTGGAGAATTTCTATCTCTTCTAGTCTTGATTTGGATAGAGGTTAAGAGTGAGGAGCCTGAGGCTAAGGCACTGCATTTATCATCTTTATCCAGCTACCTGTAATCCTCGTCCCTCCCCACTACCTATTGAAATTAATTTATTCTTCATGTTGCACTACAAATCTCACTTTAGGTGAAGATTTCCCCCACATTTCTATTCTCATTTTGCTGACTCTCTTAATGCCTTTAACACGTATTGCTTTTTACTACTGTTTTGGTGTTGAGCATATGTTACTTGATACTATTTGATGTGTTCTCACAGGAAATGACTCATCAACTCCACTGAATTTTCTGCCTCCACAGTTCAGGGACAGAGTGGCAGAGATCTGTGTATTGTCTGTAACACTTCCCGAAGCATCTTGAATCATGTGCCATTATCTGAATTGACCGATTCAGCTTCTGATTGTTCTGCATACTTCGAACAGTTCAGGGTCATTTTTGCAGGAGCCTATAATCTCATGTACAAACAGATATAGAGAAATTCTATACAAAGATATGAATAAGCCAGTAAATATATTCTTTGGGGGGGGGCAGGGTAGGAGGAGAAGGGGGAAGAGTGGTGGGAAGTAAGTCTTGGTTTTAATTTTATTATTCTATTCGTTAAAATGCCCTTCTCACATCCTTGTTCTCTTTTCACAGAATCCTGCCATCAGCATCACTGAAAATGTGCTACATTTCAAAGGTCAGTATCTGGGCATATGTTCCTAGCTCTATACAGTTATTCACTTTTTATTAAGGCTCACCTTTCTTGGAGTAAACCAAAGAATTTGTTTAAAGTCCTTCTTTCCCTTGGAGAGAGGCAATAGACACAATGAAAAAGAATCCAGGGCTGGAAATCAGGAGATTTGTCTTATAGTTCTCATTCTGCTACTATCTCAGGTAACATGACTTTTCTAGATCAATGAAATGAGAGTATCGGGTTATAATGGGTATTTCTCAAACTCAGGGATGCACAAACACCTGAGAATATGTCTACAGGCTCCTCCAGGACCATGGACCGCCAAATAAGAAACACGATAGGACTTAAAGATAGTCACTGTAAATGGTTCCAGTCTAGCGGTGCACCCAGCTACAGAAACAGCCACTGAACTTATGTGGCAGTACTTGCTTATGAAGTTGCCACCTAGATGATCCAGAATACTCTTCTTCTTCCTCTTTTTTAAAGCTTATAATGAAAACAAAATATAAGAAATTTTCTAATTGAGACTTTGTGGCTCCAGTTTAGGAAACACTGTGCTGTTTCCTAAAGGCTATATAAAGCCTTTCTAGTTCCAGTATCCCTGATTCTGTGAATCAGTCTCCCTCTCCTTTATCTTCCATTCATCAACAAATTAAACTGTTGTGCCTGATAGGGTAGATCTAGATTCATTGTCATTTATAGGGGTGGGTTCTCCCTGCTTTTTCTCATCCTAGTTCCTTGGACTGTCATTAGTAAGTGACTAGGATTATGGCAGAGAGTTTGTCCTTTATGTGAGATTTCATCTGCCCTAATACACCTGCATGGAAGCTCAGCCTGACTTTTGTATCTACTTTCCAAGATGACAGCAGTGGTGGTAGCAGATTTTGGGAAGAGTTATACATTTAAGGGTAGTTAAAGTGAAAGAAGTACTGCTTAGAGTTTTTAAGACTGTCCTCCCTTAAGGAACTTATAGTCTTAGAGAACAGTAGCCACCAGTAACAAATATTAGGCAGGTTATACTGCATATAGACAGATGAGAAAAGAATCTCAGGAGGGAACCAAATGGTAGATGAGTCAGAGAATTAGAAGGAAAGGTATGTCTGGCACCCACACAAGTACTTGCTTGACTGGGGGAAAGGAGTCATGTCAGGGTAGAGGGATTGTGTAATGTCAATCTAGGGATATTTCTCCCAGTTCTGTTTGTCCTGTCTTTGGAATGAACTGAAAATGTTTTATTTCTCTTTGCTATTTTCATTTGGGATATGATAAAGAAGTCAGCTTTTCCATCCTCTATGACCATTTGGGAGGTGTTAGATTCAGAACTTTCCTGAGACAGTCCAGCATTTCCATGTATCCTGTAATTTTCTTTAACTATAGTCAAGATAGGGCCTCCCTGGTGGCGCAAGAGGTTAAGATGCAACCTAAGAAGCTGTCCACAGCCATTGCAGCACAAGTTCAATCTCCGGCCAGGGAGCTACCCACATGGTATAGCAGACCTCTCCTGACTCACCTGCTTCTCCCCTCAGCAGTGTATTTCAGTCAGTCTGCCTGTTCTGTTCCACACTCTGTCTCTGGTGAATCCTCTCTGCCCCCCCCCTCCCCGTGCCTCTGACCTGTACCCCAGTTCTTGTATGAGTAAATAAATAAATCTTAAAAAAAAAAAAACCTATAGTCAAGGTAATATACAACATAATACTTGAGTTTTCTCTGCTCTGGATTCAGAACCAAAGTAAATGTGAAAATTAAATTTATATCTGTGTGGGGCCTCCCTGGTGGCATGGGGGTGGGTTAAAGACAGCACTATCAAGCTACTGTCAGCCACTGCACTGCAGCTTGAGTTCAATCCCTGGCAGGCCAGGGAGCAACCCCCATGGCATAGCAGACCTCTCCTGCCTTGCCTGCTGCTCCCCTCAGCAGTGTGTTTGCATAGATCTGCCTGTTCTGCTCCCCACTCTCTCTGGTGAATCCTCTCACTCCCCTGCACCTCTGGCTTAAACCCCAGTTCTTGTATGCATAAATAAATAAATCTTTTAAAAATTTTTTATCTGTGCGATACTTTGACTTTGCTTTCTATACTCTTTTTTCCTGCTTAGCATCATCAAGGTTACATTGGAAGATTAAGTAAATACTCTGGAACTGATTGTCTGAAGGACATATGGAGATAAACTTTTGTCCAGGACTTAGTTTATCTAGCTGTTGAGTAGCTCTGCTCACCGGCACCTCTGATTTTTGACAGGACCTATTAATAATTGCATACTTCTGAAAGAACTACACCAAACTAACTTTTGGGTTGCCTTGCTCTGCTCAATTTCACAGTAACCCATATTTCTCTCCTTATAGCTCAGGGACATGGTGCCAAAGGAGACAATGTCTATGAATTTCATCTGGAGTTCTTAGATCTTGTGAAGCCAGAGGTATGTTCTTTCCTTTCTCACTTCCTTTTCCATTTTAGGAAATAACTACTAGTAGTTTAGTGAAATGGAGAGCAGGAGTTGTGAGAAAGAAGGTAAAAGTCTAAGAGGGAAATACAGTTTCTCTCTCTGAAGGAGGGCTCCATTATTTTGGCTATTTTAGTAACCAGCAGTGGCTTAAGGGGTAGAGAACCTATCATGGAGCTTGCGTTATTAGAGTCAAAGGGAGAGTAATAGTGAACTGGAATAGCTTTTAAGTGTCTGAATTTAGCTGGGAAGACTACTTAGGCTGACCGTTGATCCAGTACAGTTCTGGCCTTTGTGCAGGCCTAACTATGGCAGGGACCATTGTCCATTTGAATTCAGTCATCTTCATAGGAAGAGAATTTGGAAAGGAAACAAGTACTTGAAAGGGTGATTGGATGCACTGCCTTGCATGATGGGAGGTTCATGTTAGTTTCTTCTCGGATAACTAGAACTACCTGCCTTACCCTAATTTTCTCTTGTATCATTTACCGGGGGAATTGGAAAAAGACACGGATGATCTTACCATTTCTCCCTTATACTGGCCCTCAGTCTAAATGTTTTCTTTGCATCAGGATTTGTAGGAACAGAGAAGGAAGGGGATAGCTTACCATGCAGCTTTTCTGATTGCCACACTGGCTTGCTCTAGTATCAGGGACAAGAATGGGGGGTAGGAGGAAAGGGTATTCTCACATTCTTGCTTTTTCTCCTAGCCGGTTTACAAACTGACCCAGAGGCAGGTAAACATTACAGTACAGAAGAAGGTGAGTCAGTGGTGGGAGAGACTCACCAAACAGGAGAAGCGTCCACTGTTTTTGGCCCCTGATTTTGATCGCTGGCTGGATGAGTCTGATGCAGAAATGGAGCTCAGAGCCAAGGTCAGTAAGGATACCAGGATTGAGAGAGAAATTATAAGGAACTTAAGCTGTTTGGGCCACCTCATATACCTATTTGGGTCTGATAGAATAAGGCCAGCATTATTAATTCATTTAGAAACGTGGAGATGTGATTTCATAAAAGTACTGGTCATGTATTTTGTGGACTGTCCTTCAGTTGGGGTTTCTTAGGTTTTTTTTTTTTTTTTTTTTTAAAAAGATTTATTTATTTATTTATACAAGCACTGGGTACAGTCAGAAGCGCGGGAGGGTGAGAGAATTCACCAGGCCAGAGCGGGGAGCAGAGCAGGCAGAAGGACCGAAGTACACTGCTGAGGGGAGCAGCGGGCGGCAGGGGAGGTCTGCGCGCCATGTGGGACCCTCCTCCGGTGGCCTGGCCAGGAGCAGCCGGGGATCGAACCGGCACCGCAGAGGCTGCGGGCAGCTTCGCAACCCAGCGCTCAACCGCTGCGCCACCAGGGAGGCCCCGTTTCTTAGGTTTTTTTTTTTTTTTTTTTTTTTTTGGTCATGATTAGAGTGATAGATTTTTGGGAGAAAGACTACAGAGGTGTAAAATACCATATTTATCACAAGTTATATAAAGGGTATGTACTATCTACCTAAGTACTATCACTATTGATAGTAAACTTGATCAGCTGGCTGAGGTAATGTTTGTGAGGTTTCTTCATTGTAATGTTACACCCCCTCTTTGCTAATGTTCCCTTGGAAGGAAATCTATTATGCACGGCTCACACTCAAGGAGTGGGGAATTGTGCCTCCCATTATTAGGGTACATTACCTGCTTACTTTATTTAGAATTCTTCTGCATGGGAGATTTGTCTATTGTTTCCCATTGACATATTCAGTCATTTATTTATCTCAGTATGCACTCATGAATATTTTATAGTTTGGGTTATAATCCAATATTCTGTTACATATTTTTTTGCTATATTGTTCCAGCTTTGGCCATTGGAAGCTTTTTAGTTGACTCTTGTCTCTCTTTGACAAAACTTCATTATCATGATGCTTTTTTTTTTTTTTTTTTTAAGCTCTTCATTAAATTTCTGGCATCATAACCTGCTCCTGGCTTAGGAGGTCTGTTCTTTTTTATTGGAGAATAATAGTAAAAACTGAGATCTTGGTACCACATGCCCATAGTTGTTGGGCTTCTCTCAGCTGTCAGAAGAAGGGAGGATATGTGTACATACTAGTCCATGCATATACATATATCTATAAATATTCTGACTTGTATCCAGTTGTATCTTAGCTATCTGAATTATGCTAATGTGAGTTCATACTGATGTTCAAGACATGATTTTGACTTCTTTTCATACTGATGTTAGAGACATGATTTTGAAAAAATTATCTTAAAAATATAGTCGTCTTGAAAAATAAGATGACAATCTATTTCCTACGTCAAGTTTTTATTTGTTTCGACAATTGTGTTTAGGCTTCTGGATGTCTTTTTCAGTTCTAAGATCTTGAGACTACTTTGTAATTTGGAAGCCAGCTGATTGGTTTACTCTGTGAACAGTGGTTGGGCATTCTGTCATGCTAGTACTACCTAGTAAGGAGGAGTGAGGCTTTTTGGAACCATGAGCTGGGACATTTTCCCCAGTGTAGTATGAATACATTGGAAAAGGTGGCTTTGAGGAGTTAGATCACTTATCCAATATGTGAACTTCTGCACACATCTGGGAATTCTAATGTGTACTTGGAAAACTTCTATCCAAATTTTAGGAAGAAGAACGTCTAAATAAACTCAGAATTGAAAACCAAGGCTCCCCTGAAAGTAAGTTGCCTCTGCTGTTACGGTAGATAACCACTTAACTTGTGATAAAGATGGGGGTACAGATGAGAGAGCTAATACTATAGAGGTGAGTTTATGAGAAATCCTTCATGTCCAGTACTTAAACTGTGCATATCCACATCAGATGCCTTACTTTTTAATGCTTCTTTTCTGTTTGGGGCTTAACATCATCTGGATAAACCAAGATTGGTATTGCAGAATGAAACCTCGGTCTCCTGACTGGCCTAATGTTAGGTGGCAGGAAGTGCTACATAGACATGTGGAAATTACCACATAGGTCCAAGGCTACACTTCTTCCAGCTTGGTGTTTTTCTCCCAGCTGAGACCTCAAGGCTGTGCCACAGATAAGTGTGGTAGTCAGCCTTAAAGATGGAGAGTATTCTGTATACTCTCTATCCATTAGCCTTTTAAAATTCCGGTTCTATTTCTGTCTGTCCAACCACTTATAAGCAAGAAACTCTGTAAGTGTATTGTCTTTTGGGTGACATGGGTTCAATTCTGTTTGTATCTATTAAATTCTTGTTGCATGGAAGCATTGTATGAGATCCTTGAGGTGTAGAGTCCGTGAATCCATCATAGTACCTGTACTCAAAAGAGTTTACCATGGGAGAACAATGAAGGTCTATATAAAACTTAATCTGAAAAGCAGAATAAAGGCTTCCTCATTCTAAATTGAATTTTTGAAAGGTTTAGTGGAATTTGTCTTTCAACTTTAATTTTTCTGCATCTTCTGCCTTACAGCTCTGTAGCACCTTGTTGCAGTACAGAGCCACCTTCTCGTCCTGCCACATCCCCCTCATGGGGTACATGCAGACTGGGGGCAATGGCTGCACCTCCTCTGGCACTGAGAGAAGGGGCCCCTCTTCTGCGCCCTCAGACTGAGAGTTGGGCAAGAGTTGGAGCTGCTGGCGGGCTGCCTCCCGGCTCGCTTTCCCCTTCACAGGGCAAGGGGAGCCCACCACCACCAGGGACGAGGTGCCCTTGAGGGTGCCTGGATCTCACCACCGAGTCCCTGGGGGTACACAGTCAGCTTTCTTGCCTCGCCTGCTGGGGCTGATGATTCAGACTCTTACCTGTTTCTTTATGGGGCCCGGAGCCCAGGCTGGTGCAGACCTGGGCCAGGTATTTGTGTGGGCATTTAGGGATCCAAGTAAGATAGAGGGATGTAGTCATTCAGGTATTCCCCTCACATCCCTCTCGTGCTAAAACTACTGCTTTTAACAGCTTACTGCCTTGCTTTGCTTTTTAGCTCTTACAAGTCTGAAGAAAGGATATCTGTTCATGTATAATCTTGTGCAGTTCTTGGGATTCTCTTGGATGTTTGTCAACATGACAGTGCGGTTCTTTATCTTGGGAAAAGGCAAGTACAAAATTTCAAGACTAGTTTTCTTTTTTTAGTAGTTTGGCCCATTACTCATCAAAAGTAACATTCTGCCTTTGATATTAATAATAACCCCCATACTTGTTTGGCACTTCATGCCTTTCATGGTACTCTCACATCTCTTTGTTCCTATTGTCTTATGAAGCCAGCAGACTGGATATTCTGTCCTTTTAACTGGTGATGAAATAGGCTTGGAGATTGTCAAAGAAATGTTCCACGTCCACATAGCTAGCTGGTGCACTTCCTTCTCTGTTCAGTGCTTGATAATTCATTTTTGATAGTTCATTTATCACTAAATAAATGGATGTAATACATCTAGTGCCAAAGTTATACAAGACCAAAAGGGATCTCACTCTTTTGGAGCCTAAATAGATTCTCTAATGGACTATTCTAAAAATTCATTTTAGAATTCATTTTCATTTTCTAAAAATGAAAAGACTATCATAAATATGCCGGTTCCTTGCCAAATTAACTTATGTTTGACAGAAGTCTGACAAAGTAAATGACAAAGGAAAAGTTTGAGAATATTATCTGAAGTATTCTGAAATTTTATTGTAAATAGTAAATAGATAATAAAATTCAAGGGAAGAAAGTAATGGGAGAGGACTTTATCTACCTGATGTGAAGGAAAGATAATTAAAATAGCATTGCATTAGTGAGTAGATGGCCCAAAAATAGCTCTTACATTTTGTAAAGCCAAGTTACATAAGTGATAAAAAGCAATCATGAATCAATAGAAAGGGAAATGTTGGTCAGTAATTTTTTTATGTACATATAAGTACTTTAAGGAAAAATAGAAGGTCAGTGTTTCAAGGAATGATATTCCCCAAATCCATCTTATTGCTCTGGTATCATAAACATACCTAGAATCTGACTGCTACTAATTAACTTTATGCAACCATCTCCATTCTCCAAGTCACAGTCATCTCCTGTAAGGTTTATTGCCAAAGCCTTCTAACTGATCCCCCTCTTCCTCTCCTTATTTCCCTAGTCAGTTCTCGAAACAGCAACCAGTATAATATTGTTAGGTTACCAGTGAAATTACCTCATACCCCCTTTTCAAAAACTGCCAATGACATATGGAAGAGTAAAAATGGATCCTGGTTCACTCCTGGAAATGGTCTAAAAAACTGTTAAAACTGTAAGATAATGCCATAATGGAAAAGTACTTTTGATAGTTCAAGAAAAAAGTATGAATTTATTCTTCTAGCTTGATCACACCTATATAAAAAGAGAAAAAACTGAACTAGTACATGCAAAAAGATTGGAAGGAAATGTGCTATTTTAAATGGTTTGAATGTGGACAATAAAAATTTCTCCTTTATTTTATAAAATAAATATGGGGGAAAGTTTAAGTATAATGGAAAATATAAACTCTATTTATAAAGAGATAATCCTGTGGACTATTTTATTCTTCAGTCCGAAGTTTTCCCACCTACGTTTTATAGAAGGTGAATTGTGGTTAACTCCAGAGTCATTTGAAAGAAGTGCATGATGTTTTTCCAGTTTCCTTACACCTTAGAAGTCTATAGAGCACAGTACCAAGATAGTGAAAAATTTCCCAAATACCTACTGCCTGCGATCCTGTGTGACTTAAAGGAACAAAGAAAGAAACACAGGAAGTCTCAGACATAATTATTCTCAGACCTGTAGCTTTTATCATATGGAGCTATCATAAGGCCCATGGAATGAAAATAGGGATATTCAAATACATAAATAATTAGTTTAACCCAACACAGTTGGATTGACTCTGAGTGTTCCATGCCAGCATGCTTACTGCTAGGTGACCCAGGCCAAAATTTGCTAACTGCATCATGTGTTTAAAGTAAGCTTTCTGGACTCGTAATTTCTATTTTGGCTCTGAGCCTCTTCCCAGCTGTCTCCTGGAATGGAACTGCTGGTTTAATTCTTCTTTTATCAGTTCTCACAGATGTGGTAAGGACCTGGGGCCTGGCACTGAGGTCATAGTTTATCCTTTGCAGTTTTTCTCCTTTTGAATAAAGGGTGTTGGTGAATAGCAAAATCCATACTTTCATTTGCCTTTTCATGTAAACATGATCTTACTAAATTTCTTATATGAAGGAAACAGCAGCAAACTCTGGCTTATCTAGAACAAAGTCTTGTTTGAACTTGTCTAACCCTCTATTAGTGAATACTTTTTTATTAAATATACTTTTTATTTTTTCCAAATTATAATATGTGTCACAGAAGCATGGAGAAATACTTAAGACAAAAAATTACCCTGTAATCTCATCTATGAGAGCAACAGGTTCTTGGCACCTTAATGTGTATCTGTCCAAACCCACGTAACTTCCTTATGAACAATTCATGAAGTGAGATTGCAAGATAAAAGGGAAAATTGTTTTTAAGGATTTTGATGTATGCCACCCAGAAACACTACACTCTTTTATACTACCACTATTTAAATTTTTGTTCCATTAATATACCTTTTAGTACTGTCAAAAATGGTTGTTTTTTTAAAATCATAAAAGTAAATTTTCTGATTTAAGAAAGTTTGGAAAATGGGGGAAAAACCAGGGGAGTGGTATGGTTGGAGGAAGGGGAGGTGAATAAAAGATTAACTATTACTATTAACATTTTTATACATTTCCTTTTAGTCCTTTTTCTTCTGAAGTTGAAAACATAATTATAGTCATACTGTATATATAATTTTGCATCTTATTTTTCAAGTTTTGATAAGCATTTTATACCTTTTTGTGATTCTCATTCTAGAAATCAAATTTCTATTCCTGAATTGAGATAGGGATGAATTTCCCATAAAATCAGGCAAAGCAGGGGCCTCCCTTGTGGCACAAGGGGTTAGGACGCAACCTGTGAAGCTTCTTGTAGCCACTGCAGCACGAGTTTGATCCCTGAACTCATGGAGCAACCCACATGGCGCAGCAGACCTCTCCTGACTCTCCCACTGCTCTCCTCAGCAGTGTATTTCTGTCTGTTCTGATCTCCACTCTGTCTCTGGTGAATCCTCTCACTCCCCCACAACTCTGGCCTGTACCCCAGTTCTTGTATGTATAAAGAAATAAATATTTAAAAAAAAAATCAGGCAATGCAGCAAAGTCAATTGTTATTTCCCATATATCAAATCTTAAGATAGAACTTTCTGTTTCAAAGTATGGGAGGCCCTACTTTTTCAAAGATAGTTTGTCCAGGAAAAACGCTACTTAAAATGAATCCTTAAAAAGGATACCAGAATTTTGTTGTAAATAGTAACAAAAATATTTGATTGGGATTTTTGTTCTGAAAAGTGACATTTAAAATTATGAAAATAACTTATCATATATAGCAAAATTTAAATTGCCATATAATTTTTATTCTTTAAAGAAAAGAAATAGTCAAATTTTGAACTCATTGGTGGAATTTTTCTGGTAAAATTACACAATAACTATATTCCATTTTTCATTTCGTATTTGGCATTGTAGCGGTTTTGCAAGTGGATCAGTTTTGCAAAAATAGTAGTTTAGTTTTCATCTGATATTATATTTAAATTGTACTTTTTGGAGACTCTTACATTGTCATCTTTGTAGTTAACTATCCTACCTCTGAAATATCCTCAGAGGGACAACTGGTATTTAAGAGCAGGGAGCCAAGAATCCTAAACTTTCTGCAATGTATGGGACAAAGAATTATCTTGCCCAGTACGTCAGTGATGCCCTATTTGAGAAACACTGCAAGGAGGAATGTAGGAATGCAAACGTCAAGTGAGGACCAGTATGAAATGTAGAGGATAATATATTTCACACCACTCAGAATTTATACACAGTTGCTGATCTCACATCAGCACTAACTGTCATTTAAAATGATAATATTTGGGGGCCTTCCTGCTGGCGTAGGCAGTTGAGTGCCACACTGTGAAGCTGTCCGCAGCCTCTGCAGCACGGGTTCGATTCCTGGCCTCTGGCGAGGGTCTCACATGGCAAGACAGACCTCTTCTGCCATGCCCGCTGCTCCCCTCAGCAGTGTATTTCGTCAGTCTGCCTGTTCTGTTCCCTGCTGTGACTCTGGTGAACTCTCTCACCCTCCCGCGCTTCTGACTGTACCCTGGTGCTTGTATAAATAAATAAATAAATCTTAAAAAAAAAAAAAAAAAAAAAGTACACTGCTGAGAGGAGCAATGGAGAGGTCTGCTGCGTCATGTGGGTTGCTCCCTGGCCAGGGATCCAAGTCTGTGCTACAGTGCCTGCAGATAGCTTCATAAGTTGCGCCTTAACCCTTTGTGCCACCAGGGAGGCCCAAATATTATAATTTTTTTTTTAAAGATTTATTTTTATGCAAGAACCGGGGTATAGGCCAGATGCGCTGGAGGGTGAGAGGATTCACCACAGACAGGGGAACAGAATAGGCAGACTGATGAAATACACTGCTGAGGCCCTCAGCAGTGTATTTCAGACAATCTGCCTGTTCTGTTCCCCGCTGTCTCTGGTGGGTCCTCTCACCCCCCACACCTCTGGCCTGTACCCCAGTTATTGTATCATAAATAAATCTTTTTAAAAAATAAATAAAATAAAACTATAATTTTTCCATTAAGTAGATATATTCTAGTTTGCTCAGATGTTCCATCATTTTATTTTATTTTATTATTATTTTTTTTAATAGAGGCATGTTTTATTTATTTATTTGTTTGTTTTGTTTATACATGCACTGGGTACAGTCAGAAGTGCGGGAGGGTGAGAGAATTCACCAGAGCCAGAGCAGGGAGCAGAGCAGGCAGAAGGACCAAGGTACACTGCTGAGGGGAGCAGCGGGTGGCAGGAGAGGTCTGCGCACCATGTGGGACCCGCCTCCGGTGGCAGGGGAGCAGCCGGGGATTGAACCGGTGCCGCTGAGGCTGCAGGCAGCTTCGCAACCCAGCGCTCAACCGCTGCGCCACCGGGGAGGCCCTGTTCCATCATTTTAGATGTTTAGGCCTTTATTTATTTTTCTAAAGAGAACATTTCTTTTTTTTTTTTTTTTTTAAGATTTATTTATTTATTCATACAAGCATTGGGTACAGTCAGAAGCACGGGAGGGTAAGAGAATTCACCAGAGCCAGAACAGGCAGAATGACTGAAGTACACTGCTGAGGGGAGCAGCGGGCGGCAGGAGAGGTCTGCGCACCATGTAGGACCCTTGCCGGCGTGCGGGGATTGAACCGGCGCTGCAGAGGCTGTGGGCAGCTTTGCAGCCCAGTGCTCAACCACTGCGCCACCAGGGAGGCCTGGCCTTTATTTTTTTTTAAAAGATTTATTTATTTAACGTTTATTTATTTATGCATACAAGAATCGGGGTACAGGTCAGAGGTATAGTGGGTGAGAGGATTCACCAGAGACAGAGTGGTGAGCAGAACAGGCAGATCAACCAAAATATATTGCTGAGGGGAGCAGCAGGCGAGTCAGGAGAGGTCTGCTGCACCATGTGGGTAGCTCCCTGGCTGGGGATCGAACTTGTGCTGCACTGGCTGCAGATAGTTTCATAGGTTGTGTCTTAACCCCTTGGGTGAGGCAGGAGAGGTCTGTTGTGCCATGTGGGTTGCTCCCTGGTGAGCGGAGGTCAAACTCGTGCTGCAAAGGCTATGGACTGCTTCACAGTACGGTGCTTAACCCCTTGTGCCACCAGGGAGGTCTCTTATTTAGTACTTTTACACCTCTGCATTTATTTATGATTATACAGTTTTTGAGATTTTTAAGGACTAGTTAGAATCAATATATGTGATACAGGTTTTAGTTTTAAATTAAATGATATGATGGACCTGAAAAGTATTATCACTATTAGTGATATATAGGTTTTTCAGTATATAACTGAATGAGGTCTAAGTGTTCTTTTTTCCTTGCCTTTTAAAGTGAGAAGGACACATATGGTTTGTGTGTTAACGTCCTGGTAACCAATAGAGTTTACTGGTTACTATGATCCCATAGACCTGCTCTCCTCCAGCTTAATATTAACCGATATCATTATACCTTTTATAAAATTCCTTTCATATAAGGAGTTACATAGTTTGAGAAATTATTCTGTTGGAATTTGCCACTTGATTTATCTTTAATATATATTTGTCCCATAGAGTCCTTCTATGACACATTCCACACCATGGCTGACATGATGTATTTCTGCCAGATGCTGTCAGTGGTAGAAACTATCAATGCAGCAATTGGAGTCACTAAATCACCAGTGGTACCTTCTCTTATTCAGGTATTGAACAGTTGAGCTCAAGGGTGGGGAATGAAATATTTCAAGGTTTATTTAATAGTTTGCCACAATTTGCTGAGAAGTCTCAATAAAAATACCTACTTATATAGGAAATAGCATTGTTTTATCTGAACAAGAAGGGAGAATTTAAACTCAGGGATATTTTTCCAAGGTAGATATTTGCTATTTCAGGTCTGTTTGACTGTTTATGACAGCTCCATGAAATAAACAAGTTATTTTAAAAACTGTAGAACTAGGTAAGTTTGATTCTCAGATGGGACCAGAAAAACCTGTCCCTCATTCTTCTTAGAGATATGTTTGGTTTCCTGCCATGTTGAGTAGATGAAGGGTAATACCTAGGAACTGTGTATGTATGTGCGTGTGTGTATACATATGTATGTGTATATATATATGTATTTCAGATATGACGGTGGCTCTTTTGATGTGGGATATTTTCCCCCCAAACATCCACCATGTTTCCTAATATTTAGAAGGGTGCTATTAGGAATGGTGCATTAGAGTTTTTCATCCTCCTTCCCTTTTTCCTAGCTAGTATGATTAAATACCATCTACTCTGTACTCAGGCGGAACCATGTGATTGTTCCTTAGTCTCTTTTGGAATACCATTTTTATAGTTCTGTGTTTTTCTGGTATACCAGCCTAGTATTCTGATAGTATCAGATGAAGGGTAAAGAGTGTTACTATAACAGCCCTTTTATTTTAGAGTTTCTGTCCTTACTTAGTTTTTAAAATAAAAGGATATAGTGGATGACCCACTAATATGGAATATTTTTATATATCAGCACTAAGTACAAATAACCATTAAGGCAGAATTTCTAGGGCAAGATGGAGGGTCAGGTTTAGTATTGCTACATCACACAGCACCAGGGAGTGCTTGTCATGTGAGCATAGTATGAGTGTATCTACCTAGAGTTGGGCAGCACCACATGTATCAACATGGGTGAATCTCAGGAGTAAAAAGCAAGTCATAGAATAATACACAAAAGGTGATATCAATAAGTTTCAAAACAGGCAAAATGAAATAATATACTGTTGGGAATATATATATAAGGGGTAAATTTATGAAGAAGAGCAGTGGCATAATTAATACAGGATAGTAGTTACCTTGGAGGGGTGCACACTGGTAATGTTCTATTTCTTAACTTAGCAAATGACAAAAGTGTTCATTTGGCAGTATTCTTTAAGATGTTTGAATGTGTGTATTTTTAAAAAGATACTATTACACATACATGTCTATTCAGAAAGACTGGTGTGGGCAATTTAACTTGTTCCAAAACTAGAACAGATGATTAAACTGTTTGGACTCAATCTTCTATTTACCTTGTGCTTAGTAGGGTAAGGTTTCAGGTAACACATTTATTTGGTTTTTATATATATGTTTAAACTTTTTTCTCTTTTATGGGTTTTTTTAATAGCTTCTCGGAAGAAATTTCATTTTGTTTATCATCTTTGGGACCATGGAAGAAATGCAAAACAAAGCCGTGGTCTTCTTTGTGTTTTACATGTGGAGCACAATTGAAATTTTCAGGTGAGTATAAATGCAAGCATGATGTTTGCATACTTCTCTCTCTCTGAAGTGACTGTCTTTGAGGGAGTATTAGCCTTCACATTTGATTTAGGATTAAGATTACACGTGTGTATAGTTTAGCTGCATCTGTATGCTCTGCAAATGTGAGGCAGAGTTTTTGTTTTGTTTTGTTTTTAAAGCAGTCATTGGATTTCAGTACCATCCTAAGCACTGGGGAGCAGAGGGAGAGATCCAGAGAATGAAAAGCCCATCTTATCTTTCAGGAACTTGGCTTTCTCTTTGGAAAGAAATAACTCATTTCATAGGAAAAAATTCTTGAAAGGGCTGAAGAGACTTGGAATGAAGGGAATAATCCAGGTTGGGTAAAATTAGTCAAACCAGGCTTCTAAAAGGGATGATAGAAATTAATCTTTTGCTACCAAATTACTGAAGTTTGAATCAACCTCTTATCTGATTCTTCTATTCTTAGTTGTGAGTAGAAGAAATAGTTAAAAAAAAAAAAAATCCAGGGCCTCCCCTGGTGGCGCAGCGGTTGAGCACTGGGCTGCGAAACTGCCCGCAGCCTCTGCAGCGCTGGTTTGATCCTGGGCTGCCGGCAACGGTCCCACATGGTGCACAGACCTTTCCTACGGCACCTGCTGCTCCCCTCAGCAGTGTATTTCATCCATCTGCCTGTTCTGTTCCCGGCTCTGTCTCTAGTGAATTCTCTCACCCACCCGCGCTTCTGACTGTACCCAGTGCTTGTATAAATAAATCTTTAAAAAAAAAAAAAATCTTTGAAAAAAAAAATCCAACGAAAGTAAATGTGTTCTTCTTTCCAGACCATACATAATCCATATTTTTGGGAGCAAGGGTTTTGCAAGTCCACTCCCCAGCTCCAGGTTTGGTGATATTTTGACAAAGTCAACAGATCAGAGGGAGAACAGATACTAGCACTCCTAGACTGTCTTGACTGCTTTCTATCCTGTGGCACCCAGTATACCTGCTAGAGATCTATTTAATACAAAGGTGAAACAGATTATGTACTGGACAAAATTTTTTTTTTAATAGGTTTTTTTTTTTCTTTTAATAAAGGCATGTTTTTTATTTATTTAGTTTGTTTGTTTGTTTTGTTTATACATGCACTGGGTACAGTCAGAAGCTTGGAAGGGTGAGAGAATTCACCAGAGTCAGAGCGGGGAGCAGAGCAGGCAGAAGGACCGAAGTACACTGCTGAGGGGAGCAGCGGGCGGCAGGAGAGGTCTGCGCGCCATGTGGGACCCTCCTCTGGTGCCCGGGGAGCAGCCGGGGATCGAACCGGCGCTGCAGCCGCGGGCAGCCTCGCAACCCAGCGCTCAACCGCTGCGCCACCTGGGAGGCCCCTGGACAAAAATTTTTTAATTGATGTAATACTGGTTTATAACATTGTATAGGTTTTAGGTATATGGCATTGTTTTTTTTTTTTTTTAAAGACATTTAATATTTTATTTATTTTACTTTTTTTTTTTTTTTTTAAAGATTTACTTATTTATTTATTCATACAAACACTGGGTACAGTCAGAAGCGCGGGAGGGCGAGAGAACTCACCAGAGCCAGAGCGGGGAGCAGAGCAGGCAGAAGGACCAAAGCACACTGCTGAGGGCAGCAGCGGGCGGCAGGAGAGGTCTGCGCGCCGTGTGGGACCCTCCTCCGGTGGCCGGGGAGCAGCCGCAGATTGAACCAGTGCCGCGAGGCTGCGGGCAGCCCGGCAACCCAGCGCTCAACCGCTGCGCCAGCGGGGAGGCCCGGTATATGGCATTGTATATCAACATCTGTGTATACTATTAATACATTATGTTCGGTAATCACATTACTGAATGTGATTTCCATCCTTCATCATACAATTTACCACTTTTACCCAATTTATCCACCCGAACCCTGCCCTTCTGGTAACTGCAATTTTGTTCTTAGATTATGGATACTTAATGTTAACTTTTACTTTTTGGAAAGAAACAAGTTTATTTTCTTATATTATCTCTTTGTAAATAGAGTGTGATTGTAGATTAGAGGTCTTTTATATACTTTAATTTTGATAACAGTTCATTTATCCAGAAATATAGTGTTTATCATCCATGTCCAACGGGAACATAGACCAGCACTAGGACTAAATCTAAAAAGCTTCTGAACCTCAGTCCATATACTGAACTATTCCAAAGAAGAGTCCTTTGAGACCTAAACTTCCCCTGCCATTAAAGAGAGTTAATACCCTTTGATAATTTGGGGAGAAATATGATGGGAGGATGACAATTCTGTTCTGAAGAAGCCATCTGAGGCTTGTTATCAAATGATTCTTCTTGTATGATGTTCTAGGGTTGCATTTAGAACCTGCAGTAGGGCCTCCTTAGTGGCATAGGGCTTAAGTCTCAGCACTATCACATGGATGGCCTAAGTTCGAATCCTCGGCCAGGGAGCTAACCCACATATGGCACAGTAGACCTCTCCTGTCTTGCCTGCTGCTCCCCTCAGCAGTGTATTTCAGTCAGTCCTCCTGTTCTGCTCCATACTCTGTCTCTGGTGAATCCTCTCACCCCCTGCACGTCTGGCCTACACTCCAGTTCGTCTATGTATAAATAAATAAATCTTTAATTTAAAAAAAAAAAAAAACAACAAAAAACAGGGCCTCCTTGATGGCACAGGGGGTTAACATGCAACCTATGAAGCTAACCGCAGCCACTGCAGCACGAGTTTGATCCACAGCCAGGGCGCAACCCACATGGCGCAGCAGACCTCTCCTGACTCACCTGCTGCTCCCCTCAGCAGTGTATTTCAGTCAGTCTGCCTGTTCTGTTCCCCACTCTGTCTCTGGTGACTCCTCTCACTCCCCCGACACCTCTGGCCTATACCCCAGCTCTTGTATGCACAAAAATAAAATAAATCTAGGGGCCTCCCTGGTGGCACAAGGGGTTGGGAAGCAACCTATGAAGCTGTCTGTAGCCACTGCAGCACGAGTTCAATCCCCAGCCAGGGAGCAACCCACATGGCGCAGCAGACCTCTCCTGACTCGCCCGCTGCTCCCCCTCAGCAGTGTACTTCGGTCGATCTGCCTTTTCTGTTTCCCACTCTGTCTCTGGTGAATCCTCTCACCCTCCCACACCTCTGGCCCCTATCCCAGTTATTGTATGCAAAAATAAATAAATCTTTAAAAAAAATCTTTAAAAAAAATTAAAAAAAAAAAACCAACAGAACCCGTAGTAGCTTTTAAAATGTTTTTCTCTTATTTTCAATAGGTATCCCTTCTACATGCTTTGCTGCATTGACATGGATTGGAAGGTACTCACATGGCTTCGTTACACTGTGTGGATTCCCATCTATCCTCTGGGATGTTTGGCAGAAGGTACTTTAAGGAACTCTAGGTTTTATAGCCTAGCTTCAAGTATAGCTAAGCTGATAGGCCAAATTTTTCTCTCTCACTCTGCCAGCCTTAGTGTGATATATCAGTGTTGGACTTTTCAGTTCTTCCATCATACTTCTGGCACTAAACTGCCACAGGGAAGTAGCTTATTTTGTAAGGTTTGAAAGTTGGGTTGTCACATACTACATGCTTTCTGTTTATGTGGTGGTCTTTTTTTTTTTTTTTTTTAAAGATTTATTTATTTATGCATACAAGAACTGGGGTGAAAGCCAGAGGTGTGGAAGGTGAGAGGAGTCACCAGAGAGAGTGGGGAGCAGAACAGACAGATGTACTGAAATTCACTGCTGAGGGGAATAGGGGTGAGACAGGAGAGGTCTGCTGCGCCGTGTGGGTTGCTCCCTGGCCAGCTGGGGATTGAACTTGTGCTGTAGTGGCTGGCAGTAGTTTGATAGCACTGTCTTTAACTCCTGTGCCACCAGGGAGGGCCCTATGTGGTGGTCTTAATTTTCCAAATCAGGTTCAGAGATCATCTTATTCTGAAAAATACCCAGTAAATAAGTCAGGTGGGGATTTTTCTCTTCATTTTAGAGAATAGGAAACTGAAGCCCAATGTGCTCAAATTACTATTCCTCATTCATCTTTCTGTTGTTAGCTTATAGGCTTATCTCTTAGGAAAACTGGGGGCTGGGGACCAAGAGGCATGAGCCCTCCATACAAAAGGACAAGGAATAGTTCCAACAAACCCCAAACTGACTTTGAGGGGTTAGAAAGTTTTGTTGCTATATGTTACTGTATTTCATTTGCTTCTAACAAGTTCTTATTTCTACTTTCAGCTGTCTCTGTGATCCAGTCCATTCCAGTATTCAATGAAACAGGAAGATTCAGTTTCACATTGCCATATCCAGTGAAAATCAAAGTTAGATTTTCCTTTTTTCTTCAGATTTATCTTATAATGTTATTTTTAGGTAAGTACTAGCTCTGTAATAGATTTTTTTTTCCCATCACTTCCTAGAGGATAGAGTTAAATGATTCAAAGTTTTCAAAGTCCTTATTAGGGTTCTTATTTCCAAAAGAGTAATACAGAGTTAAGAGAAAGATTACATTGCCAAGAAGACCCACTAGGGGAATGTGTTAGATGTTGGAAGTATTTTTTCCCAAATCTCCAGTGGTTACCTTCTTGAAATACTCTTGGTCATTGGAAATTCACCATAAGATAGCTCACGTTTAAAATAATGTAAGAAGCTCTTTTAAAATAGAGTAAAAACTCATTTTACTTTTACTAATTTCAGTGGCAGATTCCTTATCCAGATTTTACAGAAGTGGTAAAAACAATTGGAAACAAGGAAGGAAGAGGGCAATAAAATCCTCTGAGGAGTTGAGAGATGTCATGATACCTTCTCCCTAACACCTTCTCCCTAATACCTTCTCCCTAACACTAGAGAAGTCCCCTTGCTCTTCATATAAAACCTGCTTGCTTATTGATTTATAAAATCACACATTCTTGCCTTAATTCATAAAAGCTAATAACTGAAAGAAAACAAAGTAAACCTGCATTATTATAAAAGTAAGAGATTTCAAAGTCTTCCTAAGGACTATTTAGTAGATAAAGTTCAAACACAATATAATGTATGTGTTTCTCACCGTTTTAGTTCACAGATGTCTTTTAAGGGGCCCAAAATAATTATGGCTGTCTGGTTTCTTAGCAAACAGAAGGATGTGACAGAAGACAGTACAGTAATTATCTATTGCTGTGCAACACATTACCCCAGAACTTAGCAACTTAAAACAACAAATGTTTATTATCTAAGTTTCTGCATGTCAGAAAGCAGGTTAGCTGCGTCAAGGTCACTTAAGTGATTTCAGTCAAGCTGTCAGCTCAGCTAAGGCTACAGCCTCTGCATTCTTCATTGGCATGGAGGATCTGCCCCAAGGTCACTCATGTAGCTGTGAACAGGAGGCTTCAGTTTCTTGTCATGGTACTTCTCCATGTGGCTCCACATGACATAACTTCCCCCAGAGGTGGGGATCAGAGAGAGCCAGAAGCCACATTGCCTTTGATAATCTAATCTCAGAAGTGACTTACTACCATTTTTGCCATATTCTGTTGGTCACACAGACCAACCTTGTACACTTCGGGAGGCACTACATAGGGTATGAAACACCATGAGGTAGGGATCTTTGGGAACCATCTTGGAGGTTTGTTCTCCCAGTGAGAAGAGACCACAAAAAGTAAACCTAGTGATCTTTCATTTAGTGTTGGGGGAGAACCCTACTACCTCCTTTTGGAGCCCCTCTAGGCTACCAACACATGGCAGAAACAGTTAAATAACATACATTATAGGTGTAGTGTAGGTCGTCATTTGCCAAAGGTTAAATTTTATTCCATTTTTTTCTTTTTTAGAAAGAGTATAGTCCATTTCAGAAAATTTTTGAACCAAGAGTGTCTAAATATTTGGCCCTTGAAAGGAGTAAACTTCAATTTACAAAATGCACCAATTAAAAGAGCTCTATTTTTCTATTACTAGATAAATCCAGTGTTACTGTAACTAGGCTTCCTGAGATATGGGCATAGTGAAAGTGTCCTAGGAATAAATATTGAAAAAACACTTAAAATATTCTACTAAAAGGGTTGGAAGTAGGGGGCCTCCCTGATGGCACAAGGGGTTAAGACGCAACCTATGAAGCTGTCCACAGCCTCTGCAGCATGAGTTCAATCCCCCGGCCTACCAGGGAGCAACCCACATGGCATAGCAGACCTCTCCTGGCTTGCCCGCTGCTCACCTCAGTAGTGTGTTTCCATCAAACTGCCTGTTCTATTCCCCACTCTGTCTCTGGTGAATCCTCTCACACACACCCCCCCCACACACACACCTCTGGCCTGTACCCCAGCTCTTGTATGCATGAGTAAATAAATCTTAAAAAAAAAAGGGGGGGTTGGAAGGGTGAAAGTATTTTAAGGCCTATTTGCTTTTCTTCATGTTATAGTGCTACACACTAATTTGCAGGGTTTTATATACTCATTTAATTGCCTGTAATGATTATTCTTATTCTTCAGAGTGAAATAACTACTAAATTCAAATAATTTAGAAGCAGTGTTACCGCCAGAGTTATATATATATCAGAGCACTTTTTTAAAATATATGTTGTCTCACAATAAATCTGTAAAATAAGTGTTTTCGACCCGCTTGTACAATGAGGAATTTGAGGTGAGGCTAAGTTAGTAGTCAAGTAGAAGTGAAATTTGTTTTCAAACTCTGAAATCCTGTTTTTTCATTCACAGAATCGTGCTTCCTAGAAAAATACCTCTAACTTTTAGACTATTGCTTAATACATGTTTTCACATAGCCTTGAATTAAAAATCAGGTTGTTTCTGTTCAGATTTGTGTATTTCATTTTATGCAAATCCCACTTTAAAGGGAGAGAAAAAAAGAATATTGAACTCTAATTAATGAAATGTTTAGATGTTAAATGTTAAAAAAAAGAGAGGGGTAAAGGACTAATTAGATAAATATATAAAAAGTTAAAATTAGGCCTCCCTGGAAGCCTAGAAGTTAAGTCTCAGTGCTACCACCACGAAGGCCCTGCTCTTCTCTGTGGCCTGAGTTCGATCCCTGCCAGGCAGTAACCAACGTGGTGCAGCACATCTCTCCCGTCTTGCCCACTGCTCCCTGCAGCAGTGTATTTCAGTAGATCCACCTGTTCTGCTTCGCACTCTGTCTCTGCATCCCCCCGCACATCTGACCTACACCCCAGTTCTCCTATGCAAAAATAAAATCTTAAGGAAAAAAGTTAAAATTTAAATCTTGGTGGTATTTATTGCACAATGACTTAATCTTTTTTTGAAAATTATGAAATTTCCATAATAAAACTTTGTAGAAAATTAGATTGTAAACCCACCGGGGAAAAATTGAGGTGCCCCCAATGCATTGTTAATGACTTGTTCTAAGTTGTGTTTCCTGAGCAACTGCAATAAGCACAGTGCTGTGGGAAGTGAAAAACAGACAACCAGAGATTGTCCCTGTCCTGAGAGTTTCTGATATAAACAAAGCCAAAGATTCTCATTTCTGACTAGCCTTTTCTCACTTGCAGGGTTATACATAAATTTCCGTCATCTTTATAAACAGCGCAGGCGGCGCTATGGACAAAAAAAGAAAAAGATCCAGTAAGAAGAGATTTAGATGACTTCTTGCCAGTTTGAGCCTAATCTATAATTCTTACAGTTTTACCTTCTTGTACTGATGTATGTTTTTTTAATGTTAAATGGTCAAATTCTCAGTGAGGTTATCTTCCCTTTCCTCCAATGACATTTCTGAATTTATTGTATTATCTTAGTGTAGTCTTGCATGAGATGGATTCCTAATATCTGATGGCAGAGTCGTTCTTGTGTATTCTGTGACAGTAAAAGCCCTCCCCTACCTACCCAGTCTAGTCGGTCTGTTTCATCAGTGTCCTGACCTTACCAGGTTCAGGCCATTCTTGTAGTTGGGATTTGTTCTTTTCAGCTATTACTTGTTAAAGAAAGCAAAATGAAGTTGTTCTATAGGAGGCTGTGAAAGTGATTCAGGCAGGGCCTAATACATTCTGTACCTAAGGGATTATTTGGTAAGTGGGGTGGCATTGACTTTTTGAAAATCAGGTTAGATTCAGTCATTAATTAAATGGTTGTGTCCTCGTGGGGCTAGAGAACAGGTCTGACATCTTTTGACCTCTTTAACATCTGTTACTACAGGGCTTACCTGTGTAGGCACTTGGAGAGGCACAGAATGATTTGAGAGAAACCAGTCAGAACATTGGAACACCATGATTACTTACATCATTCCTAGCTAAATCAGAACTATTTTCAACACTCAAGAAAGATGAAACATTTCTTAGAAAACAATGAGTATAAGAGTTCCAAACCCAAATGGCTGTAGGGGTCAGTAAAACAGCTGCTGGCGATGCAGTCTGAAGCAAACTGGAAACAGGCCAGACCAAACACACCTTCGGAAAAAAATCTAGACATTGTGAAGTTTGGCCACTGTGAAAAACATCAGTTTCCTCTAACGCATTCCAAGTAAACCAAGTAAATAAGTGTTAGAAGTAACGCTTGTATTAAAGAATCTAAGGCATTATAGCTTTTTCTTGTGCCATTCCCATTGTTCCTGGGGAAAGGAGATTCAATGAGTTATGTTGTTTTTCTGAGCCTAAGATGGAAATTGGTTTGACCTAAAAACATCTGATTAGCATAGGCTGGCTGATTATTTTGTAAGTTCATTGCACTGAAGGATATTTTGCATGTCTGTAAACTTGTCACTACCTGTTTGTATTAACTTCTGATGTTCTTTCAGCTTACTTTCTATGTGTAATTGGGCAGATCAGCTTTGCAGTAGATTAATGCTGCATCTTTGTGGCAGAATCTTGTGTTCTTAGTGATTGTTATAAACCTGTTCATTGCTATTTGAAAAAGGAAGATTGTGTATTTCTATTAAACATTTACAATCAAAATCCTAATTTGTGTTTAAAGATCATTTACTCTGTTTTCCAAATCATTAGTGATAACTCCTTTGTTAGACAAAAGTGTCATATAACAGCTCAGTATGTTAAACAAAAGTGGTTTCTTTAGGGTGGGAAGTGAGGAGGGTGCCCAGTGGTATATGTAAAGGAATATGGGTGCTCTGGTGGCTGGGTGTGGTGATGCGCATCTGAGGTGTAAACCAATTCCCCTGAATCATATATAGCCCATGTTACCTCAATAATAAGAAAAAAGAAAAAAACCGAAGTTGGTTTCCTGGGTTGAAGCCCGGAGGAATAATATAGTGTTTGAAAGCATTGATGATGCAAATAAAGCCTGGAGAAGTTACATGACTTGCCTAAGGTTATGAAACTAGCTAAGGAATTGCAGCCTAAGGGACTACAGTGATCTATCAGAATCTAACTGGATGGAACCTGGCTTAGGCAATGAGGCCTAACCAGTGTCAGAAAGAAGGAAGTCGATATGAAAACCAAGGAACCTTCATGATTTATGAATTGGTACCATGTAGAAGTTGAAATTATATTCAGAAGATAGGACCAAAAGGCTAAAACCCATTAGTTTCCCAGGCAAACTATTTTATAGAAAATCAAGTATTTTATTTTCATTAAAAAAGTTTTGAAGAAGCAAATCATTTTCTGAACATATGGTCATTGTTCAAAAATCTGTATCTCAAGACATACCAAAAGCACCTAAGGGTTACCGTCAAGATTTTGCAAATTTTAAGAGTTCTGAAATGAAGTTCTGAAACCTCATGGTGTCCGGCTTGTGCTTAACAAGTTCCAGACAGTCTTGGTTGCTCATTCCAAGCAAGCATAGAAGCTTGAAATGTCTTTATGATTTAGAGAGGAGAGGAGAGAAGAGAAGGTGCCTTTCCAGAAGCCCATGAACCCTTGCTGGTTAGGCTTCCTGAGGAAGTAGTAGAGAGCTCTGTGCTCATGTCAGTCCTTCAACCTTCTCAGTCCTTCAACCTTCAGGAGATGCCTGCATTATGGGACCAATTATCTTTCAGTCTTAAAGATTCTAAGCCCCAGAAAACTAAAGTCAAAGCCAAAGCAGCCAACCACCCTTCAGAACCCTTCTCAGACTGCAGTGGAGTCACTTAAACCACCAATGGTGCTTCACAGGCAGCTTCAGGGAAGTCTTTGGGTGGCTTACTGCAAAGGTGGACTGACTGGGAACATTTTTACCCTAAATCTTTTTCACTTGAAATGAAAAAAGAAGGCAGGCTTTCAAAGTCAACTTCACATTCTTTCAGTGCTGCTCCCAGAGAAGTCTGTATGTAAAGGTGTGATGTTGTGGTCATAGCCGACATACTCGGTGGTGCCAGTACTGGCCAGTTTGAGCTGCTGGGCAGCATGGGTCAGCTGGAATGCAGCATCGGGATGGGCTGTGTCTGGCAGCAATGTGCACTCTCTTTCCAGCATGTCAGCCACCCCTTTGAGCAGATCCAGGAAACCAAAAGCCAGAGCTGCCTTTCGCAAACGATTCAGCTCCTGGAACAAGATAAAAAAAAACCACTGATGTTCCCGAAATGTGTTCTCACCATATACTTTCTGAATGCTCAGCTTAGAATAAGTTGTCCTTGACCCCAAACTTTAATGGGCATTTTTATCTGCGAAAAATGCGTATTGTACAGAGATGCCAATAACAGTGCTATAATATGACTAGGAGACAGTTCTTTATGATCAGAAAGTGAGGCACAGAAGACAGCTGACTGCGACACAGGCTACCAATAACACAGTTAATAAGCACTTAGGCCAAACGTGGTGGGGCGCTCTGTGTACATCCCTTTATTACTCCTAACTGATTATTTTTCCTTTTACCGAGGTGAAGGAAAGGCCTCAAATTTGATGGTTCTTAACCCTCTCTGGCTGGGTCTGAGGCTTAATGACAATGGACATTTTAGGAGAAGGTTCTGAAAGTGTCAAGCAGTCCGACAGGAAAGACTGCCACAAAATGAGGCCAAATAGTTGATGAAAGCAGAGAAATGCAAAATGCCTCATCAACCACTTAGTAATGACAAGGTGTATAGAGCTTCTCTAGGCCTCAGTGGCCTCATTTGCAAAACTGGAGGAATTCCTCACCTAGTGCAGGTGCTGAAGCAATCAATTGGTAGAAGTCTTTTCCAGCTTTGATATGCAAGATTATAGAATCTGACTGATTCTCCACTATCATCTGTTAACAAGTAAAAAGTTCACAAGAAGGCAAAGTACAGGGCTGACAAACATCAGAGAGCTCTGTTGCCAAGTGTGCTCAGCAAGGGCTGGTGTGGATTATGGGCTTCAGCTGGGGAGGGGGATGGCCGGCTAAGCAACTCTGGTTGAACTCTGATTAAGGTTGTTCTTGCTTGATCTCACCAGCTTGCTACATAATTAGGTTTGAATAAGACAGTGATATAAAGGTAATGAAATAACAATCAGACAAAGTAGTATGTATGTTCTCCGGAAGAACTGCTAGCCTTAGGCTGACTCTGTACCTTATATAAGATTAGCAAGCTAGGACACAGTTGACAACACAGTATACCTCACACTGCCACTTAATTCAATCTCAGCCAAACAGCAGAAAAACAGAAGAAATAAAAGTTGAGCCTAAATGACTGCCTCCATCCTCCACCTCACCCCTTGTAACTTTACTCTCGCCACCAGTAGCTACGGATTAGTTAGGTAGGCATGATTCCAGAGGGCCATTCCTTTGCAATTCATAAATGTACAATTTTTTTTTTAAAAGATTTTATTTTATTTTTATACAAGAGCTGGGGTACAGGCCAGAGGCGTGGGAGGGTGAGAGGATTTACCAAAGACAGAGCGGGGAGCAGAACAGGCAGACAACCAATATACACTACTGAGGGGAGCAGCAGGCACGACAGGAGAGGTCTGCTGCACCACGTGGGATTCTTGCTGGCCAGCCGGGATCAAACCTGTGCTGCAGAGGCTGCGGACAGCTTCACAGCACTGTGCTCAACCTGCTGCACCACCAGGGAGGCCCCATAAATGTACAGTTTTTTAAATTAATTAATTAATTAATTAATTAATTAATATAAGCACTGGGTACAGTCAGACGTGTGGGAGGGTGAGAGAATTCACCAGAGCCAGAGCGGGGAGCAGAGCAGGCGGAAGGACCGAAGTACACTGCTGAGGGGAACAGCGGGCGGCAGGAGAGGTCTGCGTGCCTAAATGTACAGTTTTTAAGAAGACATTCCTGGAAGCAGCTGCTTTGGTACATCAGTAAGAATGTTCTAGACAATCACCAACCCAGGAAGTTATACACACTGGTTGCCGGGAGTTGAACTGGATTCCCATATGGGAATGGTAAGAGTTAAGGATATGACCCATAGGCCCTTTCAGCTCCTCTCAGTCACTCACAGCAGTACCAGCACAGAGAAACCCTTTAACACAAAACAAGGCCATTTAGGGTCTCTCTGGTGGCACAGGGGTTAAAGTCTCAGCACTATCAAGTTTTCGCCAGCCACTGTGGCATGAGTTTGATCCCTGGTCAAGGAGCTAACCCACATGGTACAGCAGACCTCTCCTGTCTTGCACACTGCTCCCCTCAGAAGTGTATTTTAGTAGATCCGCTTGTTCTGCTTCCCACTATCTCTGGTGAATCCTCTCACCCCCTACCCCTCTAGCCTATACCCCAGTTCCTTACATGCTTACATAAATAAAAATAAATCTTAAAAAAAAGTGACATTAAAAAAAAAAAGGCCATTTAACTACTTCTGATTTTTGGATTTTAGGATCAACAATGGCTCTATCGCTTCTACTGACTTTATAGATGAAAAACTGAAGCAGAAGACAGAATTTTTAATTCCTTTCTATATTCACTCTGCTACCTACCCCACTTTTACTATTGTGAACTATTTATTAATTTATACTTTTTACATCCTTGTTCATTCTCCTCATAGGTATAAAACCCCATAAAATTACCACCACCAAGACATCCGTGAACCATCACCATAGCCTCATGCTCTTCCCTCCTGTTTATGATCCTTCTCCCTGCCCCTCCCCAGCTGAATGTCTCCAATTTTTAGTTTGCCTGCTAGTTTTGTCTTGAACCATTTATTTTTGATACCTATCCCAGGACCCACCCTCTTCCACTATAATTCTGATGGTCTTACCTTATAGAATGTCTGTGTTTTTTCAGGTAGTTTCCTTGCATTTCTTAAAATCTTCTGTACATCTGTCTAGCAAAGGTAAAATGAATTCAATATTAAAATTCTGTGGTAAAAGGGAAAAGAGTATAAAAGGATGGCTCTAAATTTTAAAGAAAACAAAAACAAAACTACAGTGTTAAGATGAGTATCCCTTTTGAATTAATGTCACAGTTCTGTTCAAAACTAGTAAAGCACCTACCTCCCTTCTTCAAAATGCTCCATGGTAATAAATCCCTTGGTGACAGGAATGAACTTTTGATACAAAAACACTCATTAAAATGGTCAGCTGCTTTTGACAAGGGTGCCAAGACCTTTCAATGGGGGAAAGGAGTCTCTTCAACAAATGGTGTGAGGACAACTGGATAGCAACATGCAAAAGAACGAAGTTGGATCCTTAGCTCACACCATCTACAAAAGTTAAAGTGGGCCAGACGTCTACATGTAAGAACTGAAACTATAAAATTCCTAGAAGAAAATGGTATTATTCAGAACTTTGCATTTGGCAATGGTGTTTCTTCAACACAACAGAAATCAGCAACAAAAGAAAAAATTTTGACTATCAAAATTAAAAATTTTGTGGATCAAAGACACTATCAAGACTATAAAAACACAACAGACAGAATGGGAGGAAAGAATCAGAATATATAAAGAACAAACAACCCAATTAAAAAATGGGCCAAGGGCTTGAATAGATATACAAATGGCTCTCAGCTCATGAGAAAATTACAACTGTCATTAGTGAAATGCAAATCAAAACCACAATGCCATAACACCCCACATCACATTCACTAGGATGGCTATACAGGGAAGAGAAGGTGAAAAAATAATAGGTGTTGGTGAGGATGTGGAAGAAGTACTGATGAGAATGTAGAACTAGGAACCTAAAACATTGCTGGTAGGAAAGTAAAATGGTATGGTTACTTTGAAAAGCTATTGGCAGTTCCTTAATAAGTTAAACAGAAATACCATATGGTTCAGCAATTTCACCTATAAGTATGGGCCCCACAGAACTAAAAACATGCTCAAATAAGAACTTGTAAACAATGTTCATAGCAGCATTATTCACTACAGCCAAAAGATGGAAACAATCTGAATATTCATCAACTGAATGGATAAAATATGACATGTTTACATACTGGAATATTGTTCAATTATCAAAAAGAATGAAATACTGTGAAACTTGAAAACACTATGCTTGGTAAAAGAAGTCAAACACAAAAGGCCACATGTTGTATGATTCCATTTACATAGGGACAGAAAGCCAGAAACAAAAGTAGTTGCCAAGGGCTTGGGGGAAGAAGGGAATATAGAGTGATCCTGATTAATGGGTACAGGTTTCCTTTTAGGGTGATGAAAATGTTCTCAATAAGATAGTGCTAATGGATTGTGAATGTATGAAATGCCACTGCATTGTATACTTTTGTACATTTTATGTTATGTGCATTTTAGCACAATAAGAAACTAAAACCCCAAATTTAAAAACTAAGAAAAAGTCAGCTATAACTGGTGGTAAAAGTGGTTCTAATTATCCTTTTGACAGAGAAATGATGGGTCAGGGGTGGCAGGAAAAAGAACCTGGGCTTTCAACAACGAGCAAGGCCCTTCTGCCCACTTAATTATGGCAGGATGTGTCCATTCTTTGAGGAAAGGGGTTTGAAGAGACAATGCCGTCAATACAAACGACTTCTGTCGTCAGGTGGTCTGACTGCCTCTTCTCATTTGGCTTAGGTTGGTCTGACTCATTGGAGGAACAAAGAGAAAAAAAAGGTACTCAAGGGGGAAAAAAGCTCAAGAAGTGATTTTCAAAAATAAGTATAAATGAATTTATGTCAGTAGAAGGAGAATGTCACTGAGCACCTTGTCTGAAAGTAGCATATCTTGATAATGATACAGTCTTAGCTTCCCATGAAAGTGTTCTGTGGAATTACAATGCAGTGCAATGAGTTCTACTGTGGTGATAGAAAAAATAACCACCGGAAGATTTTTACGTGTTTCTCAAAATTGTTGCTAAAGATAACACCCATTATGTTATTCAATACCTCACCATGTCAAGAATTTCACATTAAAATTCAGTGCCAGGAGAATGTGTCTCTAGAGAAACTGACATGCTTCCTTTTATCAGATAAGAAAAGCCATATCACCCAACACATTTCTTTTTTGACCTCAGTAGCAGGAAGCTCAGAGCCAAATTGCTCAAATACAATTATCATTTTGCTTGGGCTTGTGGCAAAATTGTCTTCTCTCTTCCTCTAGGTTTTGTATTGCTCTAAATTTTGTAAAAGATGATTTTGCTAGATACGTGTTTTACTATAGATTACCTCAAAGACTTTTTGGAAATAATGACAAACATTAGAAGTAAATGAATTACAGAGTATCAAAGAAAAGGAAAATCAAATCAAATGCCTGTCTGCTAAAAGCCCTCTTCCTGTCCCCAGTGGAAAGCACTGTGAATGGTAATGTTACCTGCAGGCCACTGGGTTTGATCCAGACAGTCACATTCTGGGCGTAACTGCGTTTGTTTTTGGGCTGCAGGGGGAATGGACTCTTATTGTCATCCTCACCATAAGGGTTTTCTTTAGCGTCTAAAAGAAAAAAAAAACACTCTTGAAATGACATCTGGCAAAAACAAGGTTATATTTCCAATTAGGCTAGAAGCTCTGAGTCATTCTGTCTTAACATCCTGTAACTTCCTGAATTACAATAATCCATTAACCTCAGTTAGGTTGGGGACCCTATACTCAACAGAAAGTTCCTGATGTAAGAGACCAAATAATCAACTGGGCCCATGTGAAAGTAGTTCAATATTTTTGAAGAAACAAGTCCACTTACCTGCTTTATAAATCAAAGAGGATAAAATTGCTGCTAAAGATAACACCCATATATATGACATTGTTAAAGTACATATTTTTAAATACCTCTGTATATAATACATACTGTAATTCTGAAGTCTCCCCCAGCATACTCCAACAGAAATTTCTGCAATGGTGGAAGTATTCTAAACCTGTGCTAATATGGTAGCCACTAGACCTGTGTGACTACTGAACATTTGCCACATGGCTAAGTGTCACTGAAGAGCTGAATTTCAAATTTTGTTTTATTTTCTTTTTAAAGATTTATTTATTTATGTATACAAGAACTGGGGTACAGGCCAGAGGCGTGGGGTGGTGAGAGGATTCACCAGAGACAGAGTGGGGAACAGAACAAGCAGACTGACTGAAATACACTGCAGAGAGGAGCAGCAGGCGAGTCAGGAGAGGTCTGCTGCGCCATGTGGGTAGCTCCCTGGCTGGGGATTGAACTTGTGCTGCAATGGCTGCGGATACTTCATAGGTTGCGTCTTAACCCCCTGAGCTACCATGGAGGCCCTTGTTTAATTTAATTTTATTTTATTTTATTTTTTTTTTTTTTATAGAGGCATGCTTTATTTATTTGTTTGCTGGTTTCTTTGTTTGTTTTGTTTATACATGCACTGGGTACAGTCAGAAGCGCGGGAGGGCGAGAGAATTCACCAGAGCCAGAGCGGGGAGCAGAGCAGGCAGAAGGACCGAAGTACACTGCTGAGGGGAGCAGCGGGCGGCAGGAGAGGTCTTCGCGCCATGTGGGACCCTCCTCCGGTGGCCGGGGAGCAGCCGGGGATCGAACCGGCGCCGCAGAGGCCGCAGGCAGCTTCGCAACCCAGCGCTCAACCGCTGCGCCACCGGGGAGGCCCTTGTTTAATTTTAAATAGCTTCATGTGACTGGTGATGACTGGCTGGATTAGATTGCATAAGTTTAGATGCTGAAAAAACTAGAGAGAAAAATTATATATAGGAAAAGGACAAGAGAAGAAATACTTTTTTGGTGAAACCTTATGGCTTATTAGTTTACAGCTTCCTGAATCATGTTGGTTTTAGAGTCATGTGGATAAAAAATAAATTTGTCTGCTTTTGTAGGTGCTTTCTGACCCAATGAAAGTTTGCCATAAAAATACAAAGCAGGGGCCTCTCTGGTGGCTCAAGGGTTAAGACACAACCTATGAAGCTATCTGCAGCCACTGCAGCACGAGTTCGATGCCAAGCCAGCCAGGGAGTAGCCCACATGGCACAGCAGACCTCTCCTGACTCGCCCGCTGCTCCCCTCAGCAGTGTACTTTGGTCAATCTGCCTGTTCTGTTCCCTATTCTGTCTCTGATGAATCCACTCACCCCCTGCGCCTCTAGTCTGTACCCCAGCTCTTGTATACATAAATAAATCTTTAAAAAAAATTACAAAGTCTACATCTAATTTTATCCTTATTTTTTTAAAAAAGATTTATGTTTATTTATATATACAAGAACTAGGGTGTAGACCAGAGGTGTGGGGGGTGAGAGGATTCACCAGAGACAGAGTGGGGAACAGAACAGCGGATTTACAGAAATACACTGCTGAGGGGAGCAGTAGGTGAGACAGAAGAGGTCTGCTGTGCCATATGGGTCAGCTACCTGGCTGGGGATTGAACTCGTGCTGCAGTGGCTGGTTATAGCTTGATAGTACTGAGACTTTAACCCCTGTGCCACCAGGGAGGCCCCTCACTTTATCCTTACTTTCTGGTGTAGACAGGGCAGGAAATTATTTTCCTACAAGTTTAGGAACTTCCTTGCTCAAATAATGATGCTGAAAACCAAAATTAGCCCAGTTTCTCTAACTGATCCAGAAGCTCTCTAAGCCTAATCTGGTCATTAATTTTAATGCCTCACTGGTCCCATGCAATCCTGTGAATCCCTTTTCCTCCCCTGCCCTCCAAGAAGTATAAGCCCAGCTTTCCAGACATTTCTAAGAATATTTGTCACTATATAAGCCTGTTTAGTCAGGTCAAGATCACAACAGTCTAGGGCCTCCCCAGTGGCGCAGCAGTTGAGCGCTGGGTTGCGAAGCCGCCCGCGGCCTCTGCATCGCCGGTTCGATTCCCAGCTGCTCCCCGGCTGCTCCCCGGCTGCTCCCCAGCTGCTCCCCGGCCACCAGAGGAGGGTCCCACAAGGCGCGCAGACCCCTCCTGCCGCCCGCTGCTCCCCTCAGCAGTGTACTTTGGTCCTTCTGCCTGTTCTGCTCCCTGCTCTGGCTCTGGTGAATTCTTTCACCCTCCCGCGCTTCTGACTGTACCCAGTGCTTGTATAAATAAATAAATAAATCTTTAAAAAAAAAAAAATCACAACAGTCTATTCCCATACAACATCCTCATTTCCAACTTCCCCATCATTATTTTTGCTACTTCTGTCGGGAATGCTTTCTTCCTCATTCATTTATTTTCTCATTTGCCAGTTCATGATCAACAGTCAGACTCCACCATGTAGCAAATTGTGCTAGGAATTGTGTTTAGAGAAGATATTTTTCTGGTTTATGGAACTTATAAAGAATATTTATTAAACTTTAACTATGTGCCACTCTACAGATATAACTTTGCTCCTTACAGCAGGGGATTAGATATTATTCAGCAGGGGATTAGATATTATTCATCCCATAAAGATGAGTAAACTGAGGCTCAGAGAGATTGTGCTTACAACACAGGTAAGTGACTCAGCTGGGTCTGGTTTCAAAGCCAACACTTTATCAATGAATAGTGCCATTCCTCACCTACCCAAAATTACCTCCATTCCAGGTCCACATTCTATTCTACTTCCCTATGAAGTTGTCCAAAATTTTTTTGGCAGTAATTTCTTTAGACCCTTTTATTCTATAATACTCAGTATCAGTACCAAACATTTCAACATGTAGTCATGGCTTCTTGCACTCTAACAGTTTGGTGCCACTAGACAGTAAGAGGCTATGTGGTAAGAGGATACAATGCATTTGTGAAAAAAGAGCAGGAAACTATCAGATATAACAACCATAATAGCATAAATTAAAAAAAAAAAAAACAGTTGCAAGATAAAGTTGAAAATAATCTTACAGAAAGCAAAACTAAAAGAATGGGAAAATAAGAAGGTAAGAAAATTATACACATACACACACACCATAAATATGTGTTCAAGAAAGGGACAAAAAGAGAGCAGAGAGAGGACAATCAAAGAAATAATTCATGTTCCCAGGGCTGAAGGACATGAATTACCAGGTGGAAGGGCCCAGTGAGTGCCCCGCAGGTAGAAGTGATGGGTAGGATTTTAATTGTCATTCTCACTGAGGGGGTAGACCAACCATTCCCACCTTTACTCAGAGATTTCAGTTCTTTGTCTTATTTGGAACTAAAGTCATGTCTCTGATCCCTGTGCGAGCACCTGGATCCTAGCTCAAAGACTGGCAAAGTATGGGTTGCTGCCTCTTTTGGGGTTAAGAATGATTCTGATATTTTTTAAATGTCTGGGGGAAAAAAGTCAAAAAGAATGTTTTGTTATATATGAAGATTACATAAAATTCAAATTTTTTATGTCAATAAATATAGTGTTATTGGAATGCAGTCACTCCTTCATTTATATATCATCTATGGCTGCTTTTGTGATATCATGGCAGTGAGTTTTGTGATAACTCTAAGGAGTTATCATAACTCTTAGTAGTAGTTATGATAGAGACCCACATGGTTGGCAAGGCTAAAATATACATGCACATAAAAGTTAAGACACTCTATTTTCTTCTTGAGTCTCTTCTTGAGTTCTCCCAAAGAACACAGAAACATTTAATTCAAAAGGATGCCTGCACCCCTATGTTTATAGCAGCACTATTTACAATAGGCAAGATATGGAAGCAACCCAAATGCCCAAAAATAGATGACTGGATCAAGAAGATGTGGTATATACACACAATGGGATACTATTCAGCAGTCAAAAAAGATAAACTCATGCCATTCGCAGCAACATGGATGGAGCTGGAAGGGATTATGCTCAGTGAAATAAGCTGGAAGGAAAAAGAAAAATATCGATGGCTTCACTTATAGGAGGAATATAGGGGAACCAAATAAAAGATCAGGAAAAAAAATTAAAAACCAAAATAACAGGCAACTATAAATCAGGGGCATTCTGTGGGAGCGGAGGGTGGGGTGGGGAGGGAGAGGAATCAAAATTGGGGAGAGAAAAGCACAAGGGACTATGGTGATGGGGCACAGGTGAACTGGTGGGAATTTTATGGGGGCTACACCTGAGAGGAGAAAGCAAACATTGTACAAAAATGAACAATGATGTAACATATACATAAATGAATTAAAAAAATATATCTTTTGCATGGATCCCATCCCCATGTCCCTCTTCTGCCTCTCATCATCACATCTTTAGGACTGTCAGTAGACTTCTCACTGCAGGATGTCCTCAAATCCTTCCACAGAGTTATCTTTCTAAATACAAAATTTGTTTCTTAGATTTCAGCCACAACAGCACAACTCCAGGGAGTATCAGTACTAAAATATAAAGTCTCCTAATCTGTAATGTTAGCTAGAAGGATCTGATCATATTATTCCCCCTTCAGTGGCTTCCTATTAACGGCAGAATAAAATCTCATTTTTAGGTGAAGCCAGTTCAGCTCTAGAGGCTGCCAAACTTCTAACTTACCATCTGCTCACCCAACTCCCTTGCCCTTTGTGTTCCATCTCCTTTCCTTTCTGTAGTGTTCTATTTGTCCAGGAAGTCTTTTTTCCTTCATTGGTTCAGTGATTTCTTCTTTTCCCTCAAAATTAGGCTAGCATGTCTTTTCCCTTTGAAGATTTTCCTGAGAGCCCTAGGCAAAACTGATGATCCCCTACAGGCCAACTGTGATCCTGCACCAGCCTGTATTTACTATTCCATTCTCCACCAGTCTTTGAGTAACTCCTGCTAACTCTTTTGTCCCCTAGGACTACAACAAAGTAAGATGCTTGGTAGATGTTCCTGAAATTCCTAGACTCCTGTAGAGTCAAGGATGACTCTACAGTTGGAGCTTGAAGGCCTAGGAGTATAAAAGTCTCAATAAAAAGGAGGAGGAAAAACAGAATCAGGAACAGTTTTTCGGAGAAAGGGGCAAGAGACAATGGTTTTTGCAACCAACATACTGAGCCTTAGACTGTGAAGAATATCCAGGTGGAGAGGTCCAAGTGCAAACCGAAAATAAGATGCAAGTTGCAGGGAGAGAACAGAACAGTAAGGATAAAAGTTACAGATTTGGGGAGCCTGAACCTATAATGACTCTTGAAAGAAGGCAAAGGAAATCTTGGGAAACATGAGGCAAAAGTAAACAAAGAAGAGAACAAGAAAAAGAAAAGTTGGCAAAGAAAAAGGAAAGTGCCAGGAGAACATAATGTTAGGGGAGCTAAAAGAAGAGAATTTCAAGAAAGGAGATTAAATTATCTAGAATGACTTAGGGTTACCTGTATTGAAAATAGTACTCTAAGGAAGAAAAAGTTTATGGAGACTCAGGAGAGTAGCTTTTCACTCTTTAGTTAGAGCATTTGTAGCAACTTAAAACGACCTAATGTTGGTGTGCCCTGAGCTGTAAAGTGTTCAAACATCAAATTCTTTTGAGATTCTCCACATACATGCCCAGCACCAGAGACCACAGCACACTCACAAGGGAGGCCATGCAGCTCTCTGACTCCACGCAGCTCTCTGACTCCACAGAGTCATTCAGAATAGCAGAGAGAAAACAATATCAAGATAAATAAAACCTGATCTAGTTATACCTGAAATAGGACCCAACTGTGCCATTTTCCCTAGCCATGGGAGAGGTTCTGGGCCAGGTTCAAAGAGAGACATCATGAGGTTTGATTTCTTCTTGCTGTCAGCTTGGGAGTAGAGCATTCCATGCCATTCAGAACTAGATGGAGAAAAGATGGAAGATCAGAAGACCATCGAGTACCAAGTAAAAATAAGTTTAGCCTGTGTTTTTCTCTTGAGAGACATGGGCTTCAGCTTTGAAATCAAGTGCATTACTTTTACTAAAGTCAAATCCTAAATCTAAAAATGCACAGTGCTGCCCCCTATCATTACCATTCCAGTAGGTAGGACATATATCATTACTCGTGCAAAATTATGTAGATGGAAGTCAAAAAGCAATCTTAAAAGAGAAAACAAAAGTCATAAGGGCAGCAAGTAACTGCAGGAATGGTGAGGAGTGAGGGTTGTAACCTACGAGTCTTTTTTGCTGCCTCCCTGAGTTATTCAGAGTAGCACTAACATAGAGAATCCCTTGCAACAAAGGGTATGAAGTCTTCACCTGGCTTCTCAAAGGGCCCCAGATGATTCCCATATTCAGAACCAGTTTGAGAAATATGGCAAACTAAAACTTAATACAAACTGCATTCTTCCTTTTGGAGCAGCTAATTTTAACTCAAGCAGAAAAGGAGCCTTGCTTCCTCTGAGTACTCCTAATGTCTTGATTTTCTCTACCAGGTAACCACAAATGATAACCACTTGAAGAGTCACCAACTTTTTTCACACACTAGGTAATGCAGAAAGGGAAACAGATAGTTTTGCAAATTTTGAGACTGCAGAGAAAGTGAAAACCAGAAGGGCTTTCCTCACAGGGAAGGAATATAGGAGAGTAGTTACAAGCAAGGGCACTGGAGTCAGAATACATGGGTAAGAATCTTGGCTAGCTAAGTGACCTGACCTTTATAAGACATAATTTCCTCATATATATAATGTTGATAACATTGATACCTCCTGTAGAGTGTTGTTGTGAGGAATTAAATGAGATCATATATGTGAAGTGCTCAGCAGAGTGTCTCGTCCCAGAGGAGTGCTGTTACATGGTAAAACTTTTAATCAGTATTACCAGCATCTTTTTCATTTAGTTCTACCCCATCATTTTATAGATGATGAGTCTGTGAATACTGCATAAGATCCTGTAGCAAGTTAGTCGCATTGCTGTAACTGAATCTAGGTATCCCAGGTAGAATCAAAAAAAGGTAAATGGAGAAGGGCTATAGTATAACAGCAATATAATTAAAAGGCTCACTCCCTACTTATTCTATGAAATGACCTGAAGAATAGTTTAGAAGTAATGGTAGATGGGAGGGTATGATAGAGAAAGGGAAAAGGTGACAAGGATCCTTCTATTTCTTTCAGAAAAATATGGGAGATACTCTGCTTTGGGAATGGATTCTCCCTTTCTCTCACCCAAAGGTAAACAAAATTTCCTACCCTAGTTGAACAATTGCCACCATTCCTTCCACCTTTAGGCTGCCATGGAGCAGGACACAAAAGTTGGGTATTTTGCCTGCAATCTGATTGGCTGAATTTTCATCTTCATTGTCATCAGTTATGCCAGTGCCCACCTCATCACCTTCTGTGAAAAGAAGAGAGAACAGGTGAGGCTGAGATTAACTATAAAAAACCCAAACCACAATCACACTCTTGACTGTTTCTAGCTTTGGAAGGAAAGTACATGAGTTTTAAAGGAATATTAAACTAATTATGAAAAATTCATAGTCTGGTCTTCCCAAGTCCATGTAAAAATTAGTTGTCAGATGTTATATGAATTTCATTTATATGAAACATTCAGAATAGACAAATCTGTAGAGATGGAAAGGATATTAATGGTTACCTGGGACTAAAGGTTGATGGTCAAAGCATTGCTTTTCAGGGTGGGTAAAAATTTAAAAATTTTTAAAATTCTGTTCTAAAATTGACTGTGTTGATGGTATCTTGATAAATGGTATATTTATAACACTGTACATATACTAAAAACTAGAGAATTATACACTTGAAATGGGTGAAGTATATGGTATATTAATTATATTTCAGTAAAATTGCTTGTAGGGCCCATGGGAAAATACAGTTTTTTTTTGTTTTTGTTTTGGTTTTTTAAGATTTATTTTATTTATATAAGCACTGGGTACAGTCAGAAGCGTGGGAGGGTGAGAGAATTCACCAGAGCCAGAGCAGGGAGCAGAGCAGGCAGAAGGACTGAGGTACACTGCTGAGGGGAGCAGCGGGCGGCAGGAGAGGTCTGCGCGCCTTGTGGGACCCTCCTCCGGTGGCCGGGAGCAGCCGGGGATTGAACCGGCGCCGCAGAGGCTGCGGTCAGCTTCGCAACCCAGTGCTCAACAGCTGCGTCACCGCGGAGGCCCGGAAAATACAGTTTTTTCAGTGTTTTTCACCATCTTCCAGCACAGGTGGCCTAGTAGATAACATGTAGCCTTGAGATGTAGTCTGCATGTGTGGAAAGCAGTAAATAATATGTAACCTTGATGTGTAGCTCACATGCACAAAACATACGATGCAAACTAGGCCTAAACTTGGTCTTGTGTTGGCTTTGTCTCTAAATCATATAAAAGCTAAAGGGTTCCTCTGCAGGGCCACTCACAGCATTCACTGGCCACTCACTGGTCACTCACTGGGCATGGGGCCACTGCAGCAGCCAGAGCCCAGGGGGGCTGCCACTCCCGGCCACTGCCACTGTTGCTACCTGTGTATCTCCTGTTGCTACAATAAAGACTTGTTCCTGGCCTCACATATGGGCTTCATGACCTGTTTTCTCATCTGCTGACATCAAGAATTGGGCAAGCTGTAGCTGAGGCCCAGAACTGCTACATAAAAAAGTCAACTTTCTACTGTTTCCAGTGGGATGCTCAGCTAGATGCTGAGGGTTTCAGATACCAAGGATGTCCAGAGTGTCCTCAACTGACATCTTTCAGGCAGCACATGGATAGGAACGCTCCAGGGTGAACAGTGGCTACTCAACAAGCTTCCTGACTCAACTCTGCAACTCTAGGTACTGTCATACACTCAACTGACAATTGAATCATCTTGCATTTAACTTCACTATTAAACTATAGCCTGAGTTTGATTCCAGGCCAGAGAGTTAACTCATATGGCACAGCAGACCTCTCCTGTCTTGCCCGCTGCTCTCCTTAGCAGTGTATTTCAGTGTATTTCTGCCTTTTCTGCTCTCGACTCTCTGGTGAATCCTCTCATACCCTGCACCTCTGGTCTATACCCCAGTTATTCAATGCAAAAATAAATAAATAAAACTTAAAAAAAAGAGAATAACCTTAGATAAAAAAAGATGGAGAACTCACCTTTGTTAAGTGCTATGGGTAGAACCAGATGTCTGGACAGAACAGGGGGACTTGAAATATCAGCTATATCAATAAACCCCACTATTTCCAAATCTGAAAGGAAGAAATCAATACAGCATTAATTTGTGCTATAGGAAAGTATTACCATATTCTAAGTAGTATGTTTCACAAATAATGATCCTTAAGCAGAGAATTAAAATATGATGACTAGAAAAGTTATTAGAAGTTTCTTTGGAAAACTCTAATAATTTGCATTTTAAGTAGATCAGGAGAAAATAACTGGACTTTGCTGTTATGAGGTTAGGTTTCTAGCCAAGGCAAATCTTCTGTATAGCTAGGGATGTTTGGGTCACCAGGTGGTGGTGTAATCCAACACTTCCACAAGAATGTCAAGCCGCTGTCCTTGGAAGGTAAAAGCTATTTCATTAAAAACATTTCTCTGAGAAAGAGATACTTTCTTTACAAAACCAAGGTAGCAGTCTAAATATGACAATGATTTTTTTATAGAAGCCATATTAAAGATAAAAAGCATCTGTTGAAAACTTAAAATAAATTCAAAATAAAAGTTGTAACCCAAAGTACTTTTTGAAAGCTTTTTTTCTGTTTATATAAATAGTATAAAAACTTAGAAGTTGGAATACACTAAAAATTATAAAGAAAAATAAACTCAGTCATTATTGATCACCAAAGGAAACCTCTTAATATTTTTTTGAATTGCTTTTCAGCCTTTTTTCCCCCTAGATATATATACACACTCATATTCTCAAAACAATTAAAAAAAATCAGGAACGTAGTAAGTACACTACACTTCTAATATAACAGGAAGTCTGCTTCTCTGGAGATTTGCTGTCATTACCTTCGTTAGCTGATTAACAAATGAATCACCATAAGCAGTTATATATTTTTCATTTGAATAGAAAAAGGCCTAGATTTTATTTATTTACTTTATTATTATTATTTTTTTTAAAGATTGATTTTTTTATACAAGAACCAGGGCACAAACCAGACTCGCGGGAGAGGATTCACCAGAGACAGAGCGGGGAACAGAACAGGCAGACTGCCGAAACACACTGCTGAGGGGAGCCGTGGGTGAGGCAGGAGGGTCTGCCGCGCCAAGTGGGACCCTCGCTGGCCCACCAGAATCAAACCAGTGCTCTAGAGGCTGCAGACAGCTTCACAGTGCTGCGCTCAACTGCCTGAGCCAACAGGGGAGGCCCAAAAGGCATGTATTTTAAAGTGGTCTAAATATAAGCTATAACAAAGTTTTTAAGACTAAAAGTTTACATGGGAAGGTGAAGACCTTAAGTTACTCATCAAGTTTTTTTATACTCTTGTATAAAAAAATCAAATGCTAGTGAATCTGACCATGATTCCCAAATCTAATAATTTATGGTAATAATTATCTATGATTAGAGATAATTTGTGGGTTCAACATGAAAGTCCACTAAATCTGCCACTCCTTAGGCAACACATCCTCCCATCAAAAGTGTACACATGTAAAAAAAAAAAAGTGTACACATGTGACATTAGTACACTAATATCAGAATTTACTTTTCTTTTCAACATGCCTGGACAGAGAAAAGTAAAAGTGAAAAGTTAGGGAGAAAAAAAGTAAGGATAACAGAAGAAGAAAGAGGTTTTAAATAGTTACCTGTATTAATTACTTTAGGGATAGGATCAATTTCCTCATCAACAACAAATGGTTCTGGCCTGGGGAAGACTTGCACATCAGCAGTCAGGTGGCCACACTTGAGAACAGCATGGAAAGGTGTATATGCCAGGTCTATCAGTTTTCTAGGACATGATGATTAATTGGTAGAGGAAGATACATAAGATACATAATAAGATACATGTAAAAATAATGTTTTCAAGATGCAAAATTTTTCATTTAAGTTAACTTCACAACTAATAGCTAACCATTTGTAAGACAGGACAAACTTGACATTTCTTGGTGAGAAATTTTCAATTTTGAGAAGCTTGAAAGCAAGTTAATCTTAGAAATTGAGTCACTATAAGGAAGTCAATATCCACAGGCATTATAGATTTAGTTATGCTGAACTTTTAAGGGAATGAACAGTTAAAAATCGCTAATATGAATTATTTTATCTGAAAATGTGAAACTTGGGGTAAGTGGAATGATACAATTAGAAATGGTAAGACATATTATTGCTGGATATCAAATTATAATATTGGATTGCAAAGAAGGCAAAAAAGCTCTATGTATATACTCACCCAAACATAGACTGTACATTTTTCAGGCATAGCGGGCCATCAATAGTAAAGATCTGCCCTTCACCATTATTTAAATCTATGAGACGTTCAAGGCAATCCAGGGAATCAGTGCTCTGAAGCTACAAAGCAAAATGGATGACCCTTTTACAATGGCACAACATGTCAGATTATTATCAGCATGCCAAGGTCAAACCCATCACAATAACACAGGCAATAAATAATGGAGATTTTTTTTTAACAACATGAGAAGAAAACAAGTATAACAATTTTGTCTCAAGGTTACCACAGAGAAATGTTATTTAAAAAATGACACCAGTGGAGCTATTTCAGTCAGAAGTAGTTTTGCAAGATTCTCAGAGGTGACCAAGGTTGTTATTTACACAGCTCCCTCCAAAGTATTGCTAACATCTTTTGGTAAGAAACATCATCATCATTTTACAGATAGAAAAACTGAAATGAAGAAAGGTTAAAAAACTTGCCCAAATAAATGGGAAAACCAGAAAGTAGCATTTAAATTTAAAAAACATACATCAGAGTAATATTACTTTACAAAAAAAAAAAATCAAAGCACACTGCCATCAACATTTCTGGCAAAATGAAAATGAGGGAATTCCTAAAAGGGAACTATCAAAGACCAAAAAACTGAAACAAATGAACATTTCAACTCTTCAAAATCTTAAAAAGAGTACTTGTGGGAAGCAGGATGGATAATAATTCCAGCTATGTTCCCTGTGATGGGACAACACACTCTGAACTTTCAAAGAACATCTGAAACTCAGTCTTTCAAATATAGTTAGGGACCAGCCTTACCTGAAACAAATGGAGTTTACTGTTTATTAGTACATGAAGATAATGCTAATGGAATATACTAAAAAACGAAGAGTTCTAAAATATATCTAATCAAACTGTAAAAACTTAGTAAGAAGCATTACCTCCTCCAAATTTGCCATGCACATGATGTATAACTTAGATGGGAAAGGAAAAGGTAGTGGAAATCTGTTGCTCTCACTTCGTTGATTATGAGTTGCTAGAGAATGCCGCAGGGACCCTCTACCAATGCCAAGACAGCCATCTGTCACCAGAACAACCTGTTTGCAAAAGTGAGAAGAGCTTTGTACATGAATTCCTTTCATATTTAAGGCAGTCTAATATAGTGATGTTTTCATTTCTTCTTGGTTGCATTTTCATTGAAAAACCTTCCTCTGTAGGGATACAAGCAACAATGTGTATAAATCTCAAAAACACTTTGTGAAGTGAAAATTGATAGACACAAAAGAATACACATTGTATGATTCTCTAAAGAAATTATTCTTAAGATAAATTATAGGGAGTTCTACAGCAGGTAAAACAAAGCTATATAAATCAAACAGAAACTGTGGTGTGTGTGTATGTGAGTGTGCGTGTGATACTGACTACAGAAGAGTAAGAGGAAACTTTGTGGGGTAATGGAAATGTTCTATATCTTAATAAAAGCAATGGCTACATAGGCGTATGCTTTTGTCAAAACTCAGTACATTTTACTTTCTCTAATCAAATCTAAAAAAAAGCACCTAAGAGGGCCTCCCCTGGTGGCACAGCGGTTGAGCACTGGATTGCGAGGCTGCCCGCAGCTTCTGCAGCACCAGTTCGATCCCCAGCCACCGGCGAGGGTCCCACAAAAAAAACAAACAAATAAATAAATAAATAAAACACCTAAGAGTACATTAAAAAAGGACAAAAACATTCATAACCAATTTTTAATTGTATTAAAGTTATAACCTATCTCTTAGGTAAGGAGTAAGGTCAAAAACAGCATAAGGAACTATTTCATGTGTGTCCCTAGGAAGTACTACCACAGAATTTCCTGATGCTTTATTTTCTACCCCTGATGAACAAGTACTTTAAAAATGTATTTATAGGGCCTCCCTGGTGGCACAAGGGGCTAAGCACCACACTACGAAGCAATCCGCAGCCTCTGCAGCATGAGTTCGGTCCCCAGCCAGCCAGGGAGAAACCCACATGGCGAGGCAGACCTCTCCTGTCTCGTCCGCTGCTCCCCTTAGCAGTGTATTTCAGTCAGTCTGCTTGTTCTGTTCCCCACTCTGTCTCTGGTGGATCCTCTCCCCACCCCTGAATCTCTGGCCTGTACCTCAGCTCTTGTATGCATAAATAAATAAATCTTTTTTAAAAAAAGTATTTATAGAAGTCATTTAACCAAAAGTGTACAAACCCTCTCAAACACATTCTTGATCAACCTGTAATTTGAAAATGCCAACAAAATATACCAACAGATGGTAGTTACAAACCATTTTTCTTTTCTTTATTGCTTTCAAGTGAGCTCGTGGTGAGTAGACTTTCCAAGCATTCCAGGAGAGGGTTATTTTTGCTTTCACCAGCTTAGCCTAGAAACTTGGTAATAACAGGCCATTAAGGCAGTGTCAGGCAGTACAATGTGAGGTGCCAAGACTGGCACTTCTAAAACCCAAGAATCCTACCAATAGAGGTCCCCTGAAGGGATGTCATCTTTTGGAAGATACTAATCAGCTATTCGATAATTTCCTCTTCTAGATACCAACAATTGCTATATGATTTACTTCTGTCACTAGCTTTTTCAGATGCTATGTGATTATGAAATATTTCATGTAATGGTCAAATGAGACAGACTTTACTCAGATAGTAAAGACATGGTCCAGCTGTCTAAAAGCTCAGTTAGAAAAATTCTCCATTCAAACAATCCGTTTTACAGTAACTTATTATTAAAAAACTTACTAGTATCTTCCACATGTAGTACTGTTTTGGACTTGGTTTGCCATAAAACTCATCAAGCGGGGGGCGGAGCAACATGGCGGCGAGGAGACGCTGCGAGTAAGATCTCCCATTAAAAAAAGTTAATAGGGAGGAAAAGCGGCAGGTCCCAGTGAGAACCGGGACACGGAAGATAAACGGACGACTCCAGCAAACTGCCCGAAGAAGAAAGTTGCCATAAAAGAGGACCAGAAGGGAGGGAAGCGCAGAACCCTGCTCCCTCTCCCCGCCACAGAGGCGGCACTCTCCGACCGGCAGAGAGGAGAAAAACAACAAACTAAAACGACCCACAAGAACAAAGGACGCAGCAAGCGGGACTGTGAGTGGAAAGGAACTATTGCAGCCACCACACCCTGTGAACGGGAGCTGTGGAGAACCCCCGCAGGATCCGCCGCGGAGGTGAGCTCCGGGCGCCATTGCAGAGAGCCCCGCCCAGGAGGAGCCCAGCACCAGCACACAGCCCGGGCCGCCCGGTAAGCCTGCGCGGAAGCGGCGCGCCGGAAAACAGACGCGGAGAGCGGGATTGCGCGGGGAAAGCGGCGCGGATTGCGCGGATCGGATCGCAGCTGCCCAGGTCCCCGCGCCTGCGACCTAGGCTTGCGGGGAGACGACCTAGGCTTGCGGGGAGACGCGCGGAGGCCCTCCCGGAGTGAGCAGGAACCAGGCGCCAGGCAGGGGAGCGGGATTCAAAGGCGCCATTCCCGCGCCACTGATCTGGGCTACAGCCCGCGTCCTGGAACTGAGGGGCTTTGGAACTGAGACCCGGGGCACGAATTAGGGGCGTGGGTTTCCCCGACGGTGGGGCACAAGGCAGACACAGCACCCCAAAGCCGTTGAGGTGTACCCTACCATCCCCGCTCTGCTCCCTGTCCCACGGGGTGGAAAATCAGCTCCCCAAGGGCTCTAGGAGAGATCTCTGGCGCCACCTAGCGACTTGAAGCCAGCAGAGGCTCCTGAAGGAGATAGTGGCCAGCTGGGAGTTAGCCCACGCCGGGCTCCTTCCGACCAGTAGTCTGAGCCCACAGGGGGAGCGAGCACCCCAGCCGGGGCAGACCAGGCACGCAGAGAAGTGTGCTTGACACCGTACGCGCAGGGAGTGTGTCCCACATCACCATTTTAGAACAGGGACATTTCTTCAGTAAAGACTACCTGCAGAAGGCTTCCTCAGGAGCCAGAGGTGAGCGGGGGAAGTTCGCCCATGCCAGACCCCTCTGGCCTGCCAGTCCAAGCCCAGAGGGAGCAGGAACCCACCGCCGGGGCAGACCAGGCGCACAGGGGAGTGTGTCCCCAAATCGGCATTTTAGAACAGGGACCTTTCTCCAATAAAGACTGCTTGAAACTGACAGATGACTCCTGGAGGAACCAGGGGGGAGCAGAGAAGCCCACCCAAGATGCCGGCCAGTCCCAACTACACAGTGTCCCAACGCATACGGCAAATTAGAAAACAGACTGTAGGGAGGAGAAGAACCACACGCAACCTAGCAACTCTCCAGAGAAAAAGCACACCACAAAAAGAAAACCAGCCCCCAGATGGCAACGACAGTCACTTGGAAGAACTTCTGAGCCTTCCAGAAAGAGAATTTAAAATTGCCGTGATTAAAAAACTGACAGAAGTCATAAAGGAAAACAATGATAAGGGAAAAATAATCAACGATCAGAAGAATGAAATTGAGTCCCTAAAGAGGGAAGTAAAAGAAATGCAGGAGATCAAAGAATTAATGGAGAACTAAGAATTCTGGGAAAGCAATGAAAGCAGAATAGATGAAATGGAAGAACGAATAAGTACTCTTGAAGACAACAGAAATAAAAAGAACCAAAACAGAAAAGGAAGAGAAGTACGAAGGAAAGAATGAAAAAGACTTCGGGAACTATCTGACTCCTGAGGAAAGGAAATATAAGAGTTATAGGATACCAGAAGGAGAGGAGAGAGAAGTAGGAACAGGAAAATATTCAAGAGATAATTGAAGAGAACTTCCCAAATGTGAAGGAGGAGCTGAAAATTGATATACAAGAAGCAAGAAGAACACCAAACTTCCACGACGAAAGGAAAATACAGCAAGACACTAATAGTAAAGCTCCCAAGAATCCAGGACAAGGAAAAATAATGAAGCTGGCAAGGAGGGAAGAAACAGATAACATTCAAAGGAAAGCCAATCAGGCTGACATCAGACTTCTCCGAAGAAACACTACGGGCAAGGAGAGAGTGGAGGGACATAGTCAACAGACTCAAGAAAACAGATGCAACCAAGAATACTCTATCCCGCAAAGCTATCTTCCTCTTTGAAGAAAGAATATGGACTTTCCCAGACAAAACAGAAACTCCGGAATTTCATTGCAACTAAACCCCCACTCCAAAAATACTACAAGGAGTCCTAAAGCCAGAACCTCAGAGGGACGAATAACAATGAAAGAAGGCCAAAAAAAAAAAAAAGTTATTAAAAGAATAATAAATAAAATCAAAGGAAAGACAAACACAATGCAAATAGAGATGTTAACATTCAATATTAACTCTAAATGTAAATGGACTAAATTCTTCAATAAAAAGACACAGAGTTGCAGCCTGGATTAAGAAACAAAACCCAACCTTTTGCTGTCTCCAGAAACACATTTAGCTACAAAAGATAAAAATAGGCTCAAAGTTAAAGGATGGAAAACAATCCTACAAGCAAATGGACCAAAAAAGAAAGCAGGAACAGCTATACTTATATCAGATAAACAGATTTCAAACTCAAAAGAATAAAAAGAGACCCCAATGGTCACTAACATATGATCAAGGGGACAATACTTCAAGAAGAAATAACACTCATTAACATATACTCACCAAACGAAGGAGCACCAAAATATATCAGACAACTGTTGTCCTCTCTGAAAACAGACATCAGAGAAAACACATACGTAGTGGGAGACTTCAACACACCACTATCAACAATGGATAGATCAACAAGACAAAAAATAAGTAAAGAAACCAAAGCTCTAAATAAGGACCTAGAGCAATTGGGCTTAACAGACATCTATAGAACACTAACCCCAAAAAAACGGAGTACATTTTTCTCAAGCGCACACGGATCATTCTCCAGATCAATCACATACTGGGGCACAAGACAAACATCAACAGATACACCAAGATTGAAATCATATCAACCATCTTTTCTGACCATGAAGGCATCAAACTAGAAAACCATAAAAAAAGAAGGCAAGGAACTTTCCTACCTCATGGAGATTAAAAACCACACTACTGGAAGACCACTGGACTAATGAGGAGATCAAAGAAGAAATTAAAAAATTTTTTGAATTGAACGACAAGGAGGACACCAATATCCTAAATGTATGGGATGCAGCAAAAGCAGTAATAGGAAATATATAGCAAATAGAAGCTCACATCAAGAAACAAGAAAGAGCTCAAAGAAAAAACCTAATCTCGAAGCTCAAAGATCTAGAAAAAGAACAAAAAAACCCCAAACCAGCAGAAGAAAAGAAATAATAAAACCAAAGCAGAAATAAATGAATTGAAACTAAAAAACAATCCAAAGATAATGAAACCAAGAGCTGGTTCTTTGAAAAAATCAATAAATAGACAAACCCCTAGCCAGGCTCACAAAGGAAAAAGGGAGAAAGCACAAATAAACAGGATCATCAATGAAAGAGGAGAAATCACAACGGACACAGCAGAAATCAAAAGAATAATCAGTAACTACTATGAACAGTTATATGGAAACAGTTTAACAATCTAGAGGAGATGGACAAAATTCCTACAACTCTACAATCACCCAAAGCTAGATAAAGAAGAAATAGAACACCTAAACAGACCAATTACAATTAGCGAAATTGAAATGGTAATCAAAAACCTCCCCAAAACAAAAGCCCAGGACCTGATGGATTTACAAATGAATTCTACCAAACATTCAGAGACGAATTAGTGCCTATCCTTCACAAACTCTTCCAAAAAATTGAGAAGGAAGGGACAATACCAAACACGTTCTATGAAGCCAACATTACACTAATACCAAAACCGAACAAGGACAACACAAAAAAGGAAAACTACAGGCCAATCTCCCTAATGAACACTGATGCAAAAATCCTCAATAAAATTTTAGCCATCAGAATCCAACAATGTATCCATAAGATAATTCACCACGACCAAGTAGGATTCATTCCAGGGACACAAGGATGGTTTAACATCCGAAAATCAATCAACGTATCCAACACATCAACAAAAAGAAATATAAAAACCATATGATAATATCAATAGATGCTGAAGAAAGCTTTCGACAAAGTGCAACACCCATTCATGATAAAAGCCCTTGAAATTCTTGGGATACAAGGAACATACCTTAACATCATAAAGGGCATCTATGACAAGCCAACAGCCAGTATCATTCTCAATGGTGAAAAGCTGAAAGCAATTCCATAAGATCTGGAACAAGACAAGGATGTCCCTCTCACCACTGCTTTTCAATATAATACTGGAAGTCTAGCCAGGGCAATAAGACAAGAGAAGACATCCAGGAATCCAAATAGGAAAAGAAGAAGTCAAACTATCACTATTTGCAGACGATATGATATTATACATAGAGAGAACCCAAAAACTCCACAGAAAAGCTAATTCAACTCATCAATCAGTTCAGTAAAGTGGCAGGAACAAATCAACACGCAAAAGTCAGTAGCCTTCCTATACACAAACAATAAATCTGAAAGAAGAAAATCAAAAAAACCATCCCTTCGTTATTGAAACAAAAAAATCAAATATTTGGGAATAAATCTAACAAAAGAGGTAAAGGACCTATACAAAGAAACTATAAACACTGTTAAAAGAAATAGAAGAAGACACAAAGAAATGGAGGAGATTCCCTGCTCATGGATTGGAAGAATAAACATATTAAATGGCCATTCCTCCAAAAGCAATATACAGATTCAATGCTATTCCAATCAAATTTCAATGTCATTCTTCAAAGAAATAGAACAATTATTGATGAAATTCATATGGAATCACAAAAAACCCCGAATAGCCAAAGCTCTCCTGAAAAAAAAAGAAGGGAATGGAGGCATCACACTCCCAGACTTCA